GCGCGAAATTCAGCCAGAAATGACCCACGCGGCTGCGCGGGCCCGCTCCCGGCTGGACCGCATGCATTGTAATCAGCACGTGGTGGAGCAGATCGACCGAGCCATCAAAACGGATGTCTTGGAGTGGCGCATGCATCTCTCCAACCACAGGGCGGTGCTTCTCTCGCGGCGCGCGCCACAGCGCATGTTGGAGGAGGACCATGGGATTTCGCGCGACGCGACCACCCACGAGGACTTCACGCGACAAGTGTTTCTATCGTTCCAGGAGGAATGCCGACCTGCGGCCTCGGGCACTCGCCACGTGAAAATGATGATCGGGGGAGCGTAAGACCCGGGTTTGCCGGGACTCGGGTTCGCCATCGTTTTTTGACGACCGCGACTCGGATTTTGACGAGGAGGAGTTTCGTGGGATGTCTGCAGCGGGAGGCCTCGTCAAAATGCAGGCTCGGCCTCGTGATTTTTTTGACGACCTCGTCGGGGATTTCCGAGTCCCCCGTACCCGGGTCTTACGTCTCCCCGAGATGAAGGAGGCCATGGAGGAAGCCGGGGCGCCGTGGAGATCGACGACCGCTTGGGCGTCACGATGCGTTTTCCCCGCGCCGCAGAGCATGGCGCCATGGGCTTCATTTCGACTTGCCTGCTCCGGTATCCATATCTCAAAGACCTGGTGGACAACCCGCGCGAGACGGACGGCAACCTCGCGCGACGGCTCCAGCCCGCGCGGAAACGCGCTGTCGGGCTCGCCCGGGAACGCGCGCTCGACGAGCTGGGGAAGGTCGAGCAGGCAGTGCAGGCGGGCGAACAGGAACGTGCATCGCGAGCTCGGCGAAGAGCCTCACCCTCACGCCTTCTCCACCGACTCTCTCCGGGACGCTTTGGCGCCGCGCGGGCGATCAAGGACCAGAGCGTCGCGCGCCCCACGGAGCCGTCTGCGACGGCGGCCGCCCTCCGGACTCACTGGCAGCATGCGTTTCGCGGTCGCGGGATCGACGAGGATCTCCTCCAGCTGTGGTCGGAGGAGGGCGCGGACGATCGCGCAGAGCATGGGCCGCTCCACCTGTGGTTGGAAAAGGGGCACATCGCAAAGGCGTTGGAATTCTCAAACAATTCGGCTCAACGCCCGGACGGCGTTCCTTACGCTGCATGGCGCCATTTGGAGGACAGGGGCGCGGGGATTTCAACGAGAGCCTCCTCATGTCCCCCCCCCCCCCAAGAAGGCAGCGGGGATCACGGCCGAGGGCGACGAGGTCTCCGAGTCAGGGGGCGTGCGTCCACTTAACGTTACGAATGCCGACAGCCGCCTCCTGGCGAGCGCATGCCGCATCCTGGTGGAGCCGGGTCCTTGCCCGCTTATCACAGACGACCCGCGGGGTTTCCTCCCGGGCCGGTCCACGCTGGCGAATCTCATCGACGTTGACGAGGCTATGTTGTATACGGCGGCGAACGACGAGGGGGGCATGGCGTTTTTTCTTCGATTTCGCAGCCGCCTTTCCGCCCATCGAGCACCGGCCCTTCATCGCTTTCTTCCCGCACCTGGGTTGGCCCCGTTGGCTCGTCAATTGCGCGGTCCGCTTGTGCAGGCACAGTTATTGTTACCACCATCGTCGTGGGGTGCGATACCCTGGCTTTGAGCTCGCCCGCGGCGTCCGGCAGGGCTGCCCACTCTCTCCATTATTGTTTGTTGCCTGTTCAGATTTGCTTCTTCGGCGGCTTGCCCGCGCGTTCCCAGAGGCAGTTGCTGGGGCTTGGGTGGGCGATCTTGCTATGGTCCTAGCCGGCGGTCGGCGGCAGCTCGGCGCTCTGCAGGCGTCGTTCGATGAGTTCGGACGGGTCTCAGGACTTGGTTTGAACATCCCGGCGACGGCGGTGGCGCCGCTGGATCCGCGCGACGAGCGCGAGGTTCGCGCCGCGGCGGCGGCGGGCGCGCCTGGAAGGGGAGGACTGGCAATTTCAGCTGCGGCGAAATATTTGGGATTATACGTCGGCACTGGCAGGGGGCAGCTCTCTTGGGAAGCCCCGCTCCAGAAATGTGTCGAGCGCGCTCAGCAATGTGGCACCATGCGCGCCGGTCTCCTCATGGCCATGAAAGAATGCCGGTTTTCGTGGCATCTGTCTTATTGTTCGTGGAATTGTTAGAGGAGTTACCACCCGCTTTCGGGTTCTCGGTGGCCGCGGCCTGCGGGGGGGCTTCTCCCGGGCTGCGCTACTCGGAGGAGTTAGCCGGCATCCCTTCGACGATCGTCGCGGCGAAGGCCAGGGTCGTGAACTTCGAGGCCCACGGGGCCCTCGACATCGGGAGACGGGCAGCAATGCTGCAGGCCTTGTCTTGTACTGCAGCTTCTGCGCTGGGTCGCCCCGGTTGGTTTTGCGTTCGGCGCGACAATACCTTCATCCTCAACCTGCATCGGGCGGCGTGCCCGGTTGACGCGATTTGTCGTCGATGTCCTGATGACCGTCTTTGGGAAGAACGGCTCGGTTGGCAGAAGCGGGCGGCGAAACGCATGCACGGAAATTCGCAGGCTCTCGCTTAAGGACATATCATCTCCAGAAAAGTTTGACCATTGGTGTATTCCTTTACTTCGTGGTCGACGATTACATCGGGCCCGCCATGTCTTGCAGCTTGTGAGCAGCACGTGTCAACCACGGAATTGGGCTGTTACCGTCAGCCTTTTCTGCAATTGGTGGTGTACGCGATCACGATTCGGGGCTCGTGGCGAGTGCCGGATGGGCTGCGGTTGCCCATAGGACAGCGTTCGGCACCTCGCTTGTTGCCCCGTTGTCCGACGTCTGTTCAGCAGGCGCGCAGGCGTCCAACCGCCCGTTTCAGGCTTCGAGCTGGAGGCCTTCCGGGGCTTGGGGGACCAGTGGCGGCTGCGGGAACGGGTCCAGCGTAGGGCTCTAGCTGTGGACGCTCTGCGCCGGACTTACAACGGCAGGCGGCACGGTCACTTGGAGACTTCGGACTTCGATGGGGCGTTTGCCGAGTATCTCCGTGAAGGCCAGCGCGGAGTCGAACGTTTAAGTTGACGGGAGTTCCTTTCGCGTCCCGCTAGTGCCGGGCGCTGGGGAGGAGGAGACGTTTTGGCGCGCATGCATGTAGATTATTGTGTTTGTCGCAGGCGGGATGCCCCTGCTAGGGCGTGTGTGCCCACACGGGTATAGCAACGCTCCGGCTTCCAGGCGACTTGTTTTCTCATTTTTCTCCTCCCCCTCTCCCCACCCCTCTCCCTCCACGTGGTCGTGTCTCCTGTTGAAAATTTACGTGGTCATCCACGGAGCTCGGATTCAGATAGTTACCTAATGTTGCCAGTGCGCGCGACGGCTCGCCTATCGCAGGTTGGCCTGAGCGTCGCTCGGTTGGGTGCGTTTTATTTTCCCCGCCGTGCAATGGACGGAATTAAATGATACGAATCTGGGCATTTTCGTATCAGCCTCTCCCTCTCCTCTCCCTTCTTCCTTCCTCCTCCTCTCTCTCGGCACTGGGTGTGCATCCGTTTCCACACGCTTGGTGAGGAAGAAAACGGCGGATTTCAAATGCAAGCGGCATTCGCGTTACGACGACGGTTGTTGAAGCATGCGGTCCGCTCCCATCACCCCCCTCCAAAAACCAAATATTGGCCTTGATGGTTTTTCAGCTGTCTTTGGGGCTTCTTGGAAGCTAGGGAGTCTCGTGGACGTCTTTGGGGTTCATTCCCTACCTAGGCTCTGCCTAGAAGGGTTCTTACTCGGTTTGCTTAAAGGGGCCGGGCAGTGGTTCTCGCCCCGGGCGGTTCCCCCAGGATCCGCCCCGCGGTTCCCCCAACTACGTCCCCTTTGCTTAGCGTCGCCTATCTCATCTTAGCTTAGCTTATTCCATCTTAGCTTATCTTAGCTTCATATTGGCTCAGGTTTATTTTAGCTTAGCTTACCTTCAGTTTAGCTTCGCTGAGCTTTAGCATAGCAGAGCACAGCATAGCGTAACATAGCATAGCGCACCACAGCATATCATAGCATCGCCCAGCATAGCATAGCGCAGCACAGCATAGCATAGCATAGCATAGCGCAGCACAGCACAGCATAGCACAGCGCAGCATAGCATATCATAGCATAGTTTAGCATAGCACAGCGCAGCATCACATAGCATAGCATAGCATAGCATAGCATAGCATAGCATAGCATAGCGCAGCATAGCATAGCATATCATAGCATAGCATAGCATAGCGCAGCATAGCATGGCATAGCATAACATAGCATAGCATTCCAAGGGGCTACAATTCCTAGGTAGGGTTGCACTGGGGTAATTTTTGAAAAAAGGGCGGAGGGCGCTGAAACTGCCAGTCTTTAGGCGGGCCCTCTGGGACACCAAATTTGCGAAATGCATTATGTTGACTTTATGGCTCCTTGCACACTGGCGTGTTCGGCCGAAGAGACGGCAAGTAAAGCTTTGACGCCCAGTCGTCCGCCAAAATTGGGCCCATGGATAGGGGATAAGTATTTGGGGTAGGGGGAAAGTCCCTCCCACTGCGATGCAAGGATTTCGTAGAGGAGGTTAGGGTCCATCCCTAGTCCAGGGGGCTGGTGGGATGCGACGAGGAAGATCAGGAGGAGGAGAAGAGGAGGAGGAGGAGAAGAGGAGGAGGAGGAGTTGGAGGAGACGGAGGAGAGTTACGTAGGATGACGATGTGGCCGAGGAGCACGATGCGTTAGGACCGAGCAGGAGAAAGAGAATGAGCTGGTGTGGACGGCTGGTCTCCAAGGCCGGCGTCCGAGCATTTGGTGTCAGACTGGGCCCGTCCCGGGGCAGGTGTGGGGAGAGCGGGGGAAGAGAAACAATGATTTCCTAAAGCAGATCCGTTCCCATCGCCCCCTACCGTGGGCCCCCTTGGCGCCATCTTGAGATCTTGAGGCGTCTTGGGCCGATTCGGGGAAAAGTTTGGCCCTTAGGGATGTCTCTCGGAGACCTCTGAGGCTAACTCGATGGCCCCTACGAGCCCTCTAAGGCAATTTTGAGCCCGCCACAGGCCAGCACATCTCGATCGAGAAGCTGACGACGGACATTATGACCGCCGTGACGAAGGAGGCCAAGCAGACCGGGATCTGGAAGAGCATGAAAGTCAAAGGGGAAGGACTGCAGATGGGGTGGAAAGGAGGAGGGAGGGAGGAGGAGAAGAGGAGGAGGAGGAGAAGGAGGAGGAGGAGGAGGAGGAGAAGGAGAAAGAGAAGGAGGGAGGAGAACGAAGGATGGAGGAGGACGAATGAGGGAGGTGGGGGGGAGTGAGGAGCGAGGCTGGGCGGGGGAGAAGTAAGGAGGAAGGGGGGCCGAGGAGGAGGAGCAATAGAAGAGCGAGAGAGGACGAGGATGGGTGCGTGCAGCGGGTGTGTCTTCTCAAGAAGAAGAAAGAGAAGAGGAGGAAGAAGAAGCAGCTTGCACAGACATGAATGTTGGACATCCGCGCGGAGCTCCGACATTTCACATTTGTGCTGTTGCTCTTTCTTCCCTGGGAGCCCCGAGCCTCCAGTCCCGAGTCTTGTTCCGCCCGTGAGGGCGTGTAAGGGGGCAGGGGTCTTCGGCACAGACGCACCGCATGCAACGCTGGGTCCTTATCCTCCGTCACCGTGACCCGTGGTGCCCGAGGCCGCGCCGCGGGCGATCCGGCAGCAGACCGCACGGCACCTCGCTCTGCTTGCGCCCCCCAGGCTCTTCTCCAGCGCCGCCTCCGGCTCGTGTTGTTTGCTTTGGCCGTGGTGCCCCCGCCGAGCCTTGAGATCCGAGCGTTGCACTTACTCCAGATTTCGTAATAAAGGGAGGGGGGTCTCATTTCGGGGGGGGTCTCTTCCAGGCTATCTTGGAGGGCCTGGGGGGGTCTGGGGACGATGTTTTGGAGGGTTCTCGCACGGGGGAGGTCTGAAATGGCTTGTCTTGGAGGGTCCAGACCCCCTCCCTTTTATTACGAAATCTGGAGTACTTCACCCTGATCGGGAAGACAATTTTCGGGTTGGGAGGGTGGGGTTGGAAGACATGTGGATACCATGACACGTGGGCTGCCGAAGGTATCGTTCACTGCATCCCGATGCTACTGCTCATGCTATCAATCCTCCCCCGATCCCTGTTTCCCAACACGATAATTGTTCTCCTCACCTCGGCGTTGTCGCCCAATTTCGGGCCCTAGAACCGTAGCATATCGATCCTGCTCGAAAAACTCTGAAAGAGGAGGAGGACGAGGAGGAGGAGGGGAAGGGGGGAGGGTGAAGGGAGGAGGAGGAGGAGGAGGAGGAGGAGGAGGAGGAGGAGGAGGAGGAGGAGGAGGAGGAGGAGGAGGAGGAGGAGGGGGGAGGATGGCGGGAGGAGGAGGCGGAGGAGGAGGAGGCGGAGGAATATGAGGAGGGTGGAGGAGGACGACGAGGAGGACGAAGAGGAGGAGGAGGAGGAGGAGGAGGAGGAGGGGAGGAGGAGGAGGAGGAGGAGGAGGAGGAGGAGGAGAGGAGGAGGAGGAGGAGGAGGAGGGGGGGGGGAGGATGGCGGGAGGAGGAGGCGGAGGAGGAGGAGGAGGCGGAGGCGGAGGAATATGAGGAGGGCGGAGGAGGAGGAGGAGGCGGAGGAGGAGGCGGAAGGAGGACGACGCGGGAAGTTGTGGGAACTTCTATTGGACTTGAGGTGTTTCGTTGGGCGTAGGCGGGAGTTCTGGAGGGTTCTAGGGGTCCTTGGGGGTCGTAAGGCATCGTCTCTCCCCCTCTCGCGCCACGGGGGGAGGGCCACAATAGGGTTGGGGAGAGACGGGGGCGGGGAAGCGAGGAGAGGGTGGAGGGCAAGCAGGGCAGGAGGGAGAATAAAGGGGGAGACTGGAGCAGAGTGGCGGTGGGAAGGAAACGAGAGCGGTGGAGGTGCGGGAAACGGCGCCACCCCGGGCGGCCCCCGTGGAGAGGGCCCCCGCAAGCGGCTCTTCCGAGGGCCCTTCAAAGCAGCCCTATGCGAGACAATCCTGCCAGAGGCAAGGAAGCCCAAACGCGGACTAAGGCGCTTGAACTCGCGACGGGCCCCGCTTCCCCAGAGATCCAACGCATTGGAAAAAACCAAGGACGGAGGCTCCTCGCAGCTTTCGGCCTCTAGGACCCCTCGCCAGGCCCCAGGACCGTGAAGAAACGACGCAGGATGAAGAATGGACCCCGGGGAAGGGGTCGAGACTTCCGGGCGGCCCCGTATTGAGAATATCGCGACAGCGGGTCGATGGGTCCCCACGTAATCGGTCCGTCGCCACACGAGGCGGCGCTGGCCTCATCTTGCGGGGGCCCCCTCCCCGCTCCGTGGAACTGGCGCCCACGCGCGAGGGCCTCTCCCCTCTTGGGCGACGTGGGAAACGGGGCCGGATGCGCCGACATTCGCGCGCAAGCTGCCCGCGCAAGCCTCGGCGTGGTGTCGCTATGTCATCTCGCGTACGACCCCGTTCTTCTCGTCGCTCATTCGCTGTCTTCCCACATGTTTCGTTGGGTGATGGTTTTCTTCTCTGCCGCGTCGCACCCGCGTTTCCTCCTCCTCCCCTTCTCCTCCCTCCTCCCCTCCTCCTCTTCCTTTCTCCCCTCACGCCCGCGCAACACATGCACAGCACGTACGTGGGACACGCGGCTACATACAGCCGCACGTATGCACATTTCCGCGCACACGCACACACCATACAACGCCAGTGCGCGCCTGGCGTGCTGTCTGTCCACCTGCGAAGATCACACCTCACCTCCCTTCTCCCCTCCTCCTCCTAATCCTCCTCCTCCTCCTCCTGCTCCTCCTCCTCTTCCTCCTCCTCTCCTTCCTCCTCCTCCTCCTCCTCCTCCTCCTCCTCCTCTGCCTCCTCCTCCCTTCTCCCACGCGCAACACATGCACTCCACGTGCATGAGACACGCGTCTTCGTACAGCCGCACGCATGCACACACTCGCACACACACCAGACAACGCTAATGCGCGCGCGGCGTGTTGCCTGTATCATATACCCAAGACGCATGCGCCATACATTGGGCATCCACATGAGACGTACGTCCAGATACGGCACATGACACGCTGTCCACAAGACATACGTGTAGGATTCGCAGTGAATGGCAGGGGTAGCGTTTTCTCGACACCAGAGAGGGTGCGCAGGGGGTGTCCCCGAACGCGGCCGCTATCAGAGCTGGTCGTCCAGGACACAGCAGGCGTCGCATTGTCTCGACACCATAAGGGGTGCGCGGGGGTGGTCCGTGAGCGCGGCCGCTATCCGAGCTGGTCGTCCAGGGCATAGCGGGCGTTGCATTTTCTCGACACCAATAGGGAGTTCGCAGGGGGTGGTCCATGAGCGCGGCCGCTATCCCAGCCCGTCGTCCAGGACATAGAAGGTGGTCCCTGAGCGCGGCCGCTATCTAGCTCGTCGTCCAGGGCATAGCAGGCGTGGCATTTTTTCGGCACCGGAGAGGGTGCGCAAGGGGTGGTCTCTCACCGCGGCCTTCATGCGTGCCAGGGCCGGAGAGCGCGGCAGGCGTGGCACTTCCTCGACTTGGGTCGGAAATGCGTGGCAGGCGTGGCCTTGTCTCGACTACAAAGGGGTGAGCAGGGGGTGGTCTCTCACCGCGGCCTCTGTGCGTGCCAGATTCGGAGAGCGTGGCAGGCGTGGCACTTTCTCGACACCGGAGGGAGTGCGCATCGGGGTCGGAGGAGGGTGATAGTTCGTCGTTGGTGATAGTTCGGCGAGCCGGCGATGCTGGCAACGCGGGTTTTGCCACGCCCGCGTAGGCTACGCCCGTGAAGCCCGCGCCCACGCAGGCCTTCACCCCTTCAGCGGTCTCCAGCACTTCTGCTTGGTACCTCTGTTCGTTTCACGGGCACCCCTCGCATTCAGCTGTTCCCTGAGCCTGTTGAGACAGACCGCCGTTGGTCGCACGTGCCATGGTCGCACGGCCTGCGAGAATAGATTCACCTCGAGCGGGAAGACCGTTGGAATTGCGCATGAGAAATGGGGAAACATCCGCGACGAGAGTTCATAATGCTGGATAGCGCGTGGATGATAACATGGTAAGCGAATGCGGAAGACTTTCCCTACTTGCATGGAGGAGAGGGAGAGGGGGGGCGCGGCGAGGCCCGGAAGGAAAGTTGGGCTTCACGCCGCGCAAGTCAGGGCTGACTTGCACGCCTGTTCGGCCCAGCGCTGTTTGAAAAAAAGGCAGCGGAGGCCTGGGGGGCGGGGGAACCACGCGGGTGAACTCGCCAGACTCTACCAGGAAGCTGCATAACTACACGCGACGTGGCTGGCCTGGGCGGGCGAGCAGTGGATGCACATGTAGCCACATGTCTCTCCCAGCGGTCGGCCCTCGTTTGGGCAAACACGGTGGTCCTCCACATGTCAACGGAGAGCCCAGAGGGGGAAGTGAGAAGGGGCGGGCCTTGTCAGAAGTCCTTGTGAGAAGTTCCCTGAGCTTTCCCCGAAGACGCAGGAGACCCCTCAGAGGGAGCGGGGGCCCGCTGAGGAGCCCCGCCGCCTTCTGAAAAGGCCTTTTCCTTCTCATTTCCCCTCTCTCGCTCGCCGCCGAACGTGTGTATCCAGCAAGTGACATCCAGCGGTTCCCAATGTGAATCTAGCCATGCTCGGGCATTGCTAGTAGTGCCCCTCCCCCAGTGTGCCCCCAGGATTTCCAAGGAGGCCCCAGCGGCCTCCAGAGCACCGGCCAGGAGGCCCAGAGGGCCCCAGGGGCCCCAAAATTGCCTAAAGAGCTGGGGGCACCTTGGGCCAGGGGCACATTTAGCAACCGCCGACTCCGGGGGAGGGGTGCAGGCCTCTGAGGAGGAGGCTGCCTTTCTGAGGCACGGGCTTTTCATCGATATAGATGAGTCCCGCGCTTCCTAAAGAAACAGTGATGTTTCTAAAAAGCCTTGCCCCCCCCTCCTCCAGAGGTCCCCCGGGGCCCCAACATTGACGTAAAAGTTGGGGGCACCTTGGACCAAAGGGCGCCTCCGAGCAACACCCAGCCACGCGTGTGCTCCCAGCGCCTCCGGACGCGAGAGCGCGCTCCCGGCGCCCCCTCTGACCGCGCCCGCCCCGGAGGGCTGGAGAGCGGCCCCCGTCGAGGGGCGCCCCCCCGCGCCCCCTTGAGGAAGGGGCAGCCGCCGGCGGTATACGGCGGCATCCGTCTGGATAAACCCGCCGGTTTAGCAGGAGTTACGGTCCCAATGGGGCTACTGCGACCGGCACGTGGTCGTAGGCGAGGGGTGTCCCCCCCCCCTCACTCGGGCGCCAATCCCCGGGAGGGGCCCGCGCGCGGGGGGGTCCTGAGAACGACCGGTCGGGAGGGAGGCCCGGGGGGGGCCCTCCTGGAAATGCCTTGGCCCCCCCCCCTTTTCTGACCTTCCAAAGTATTAAAACATAGCCTTCCAGACGTGGAGACCTCGTTGGACCACCTAAAGCTTCGGCGGGAATTTGGACGTCGAGTTCCTGGTCCAGGGCCCCCCTCTCCCCTTGTTACACAATCGCCCACAGCTGGTCCACCATCACTTGCAACAGATATACACCATCGTTTCCTGCAGAAGCGCCACCATTTACAACAGCCACGCCATTCACGGCGGAGGTTCAACCCATACTGAACAATAGTCTATACGGAGTGGTCGGTCACTGTCTGGACTTACTCCGTCTGGATTTACTCCGTCTGGATTTGGCCCCCCTTGAGATCCGACGTGGCAACGAAATTGCAACATTGTGAAAATCACGCCCGAAGCCCTAGATCCCCCCATTTCTCTGCATAATTTTTTCGAGCCAGATCGATATGTGAGGGCCTTGGGGCCCGAAAAGAGACGAAACAACGCCCGGCTCGAACGCATTGAGACGCGAAGATCCCAGGGCTTCCTGACCCAGAGATCGGATATCGTGTTTTTTTCAATGCGGAGTCCCTGGAGGTCTCGACACCTTCCCTGGGACTGGCTTTTCATCCTGAGTTGTTTTTTGACGGTGTTGGGGCCCAGCGAGGGCCCTTGGAGGCTGAAAATTGCGAAAAACCTCCGCGCTGATTTCTTCATCTGCACGAGCGAAATGGGTACGGAAAGAATGGGTACAGTGCCCAACAGCGGATCTGGTTCATTTTGGACAGGACTCGCTGTCCACGCCGCCGCGGCCTGTGCCCATTCAAAGCAGAAGGCCGCCTGCCCAACAGCGGCCGCTGTTGGTTTGGGACAACATTTGTTGTTGGGCACTGTACCCATTGGTCCGTGCCCATCTCGGGCGTCCAAATTTCAGTGCGCTGCAATCTTTGGGGGCACCTGCAGTGGCTATGGACTGCCTGCGGCAGCCATGCCCTCCGTTGCCGCAGCCGTGCGGAGGCGCCGCACACGCGCACAAGACATCCACGGGGGAGGCCCCGGGCCCCCGCCCCCGGCACGGGCCGCGCCAGGAGGCAGCGCTTCCTCGCTCGCCGTGATGCGCGCCCGGGCCCTGCAGATCCGCGAGTGGAAGAAGGAGGAGGCGCGCTGCCGTGGGTCCGGGGAGGACAATCCCAGGAAAAGGGCACCCCGTTCCGCTGCCCCTCGCCCGTTTCCCCCCGTGGTCGGCCTCCCGGGAGGCTCCCGTCGCCGCCGCGGGATTCGCCTCGAGATCCTGGTTGGAGCGAAGACCCGGCAGAGGGCCGTGGGGTTCAGCGGCATCGGCACCTGGCCGACCCAGATGTCCGACGCACCGACAAAGATCAAGACGGAGGTTTCTCGCAGTCTTCGGCCTCCAGGGGCAGGGGCCGGGCCCCTAGGACCGTCGAACATCGACTCAGGATGAAAATTCGGTCCTGGGGAAGGCGCCGGGACTTCCAGGGACCCCGCATTGGAAAAAAACACGGCTTCGGCTCCCTGGGGAGCGAGCAGCCGCCGCCCTGCCGCCGGGCACCTCCGGGGGCAGGAGGGGGGGAGGGAGGAGTGCGACGCCTCCAGCGTCTCGCCCCCATGGCTTGCCCGAGAAGGAGGGGAGGGAGGAGATAGGAGGCATCGGGGAAGCACCCTGACAAGCAGGGTGTGGATGTCACAGTCAATTGCCACCTCCTTCACCTCTGTGTGTGAAGATCTTGTCTACTGGCCTTTGGCTCATTCCGACACCGTGCTTGGATTGCGGGTGTAAAGCCTAATTATTTGATGTTCGTTAGGGTCTCGTGGGAGGCCTCTCGGGGGCCTCTTACGCAGCCGCGACGCAAGTGTCTGCAAATTGTTGTGGCGAAGGTGTCTCCCATCCCTCTTAAGATCCCTGACATCATGGTGCTGCCGTCCGTCGGCGGAGCAGTTCCCGATCCGCCTGACGCATACAAGTTTGTTACCCCAAAGCCAGATCCGAAGCTACTCCGCGCCACACCCCATCAAGTATCGAGCAGGATGCGCCCGCACGCGGAGCCGTTGGAGTATTCCGCCCTGCTGCGCCATTGGCGAAGGAAGATTGAAAGAAGCTCACCTCTTGCGGGCCGTTTTGGGGCGTCTTGGGGACTGTTTTGGGCCTCTCGGGGGCCTCTTGGGGCTTCTCGGGAACCTCCTCTTGGGGTCCTCTTAGGACCTCCTGGGCGCCTCTTGGGGTCCCCTGGGGGGCCTTTTTGGGGCGGAAGGCTCGGATGTTCGGTTCGTGCTCTCTCTCTTGGGCCGTTTTTGGGGTCGTCTTTGGACCCTCTTTGGCCGTCTTGGGCGCCTCTTGAGCCGTCTTGCAGCCCTCTTGGGCCCTTTCGAGGCCCTCTTGCAGTCTTGGGGGCCTCCAGGGCCGTCTGGGAGCGTCTGGAAGCCGACAAGGCGAGAAAGCCACAAACCTTCAAAATCCTTCAGGAAATTAGTAATTTGCTTGAGAGGCCTCTTGGAGGCCTTTTGGGGCGTCTTGGAGGCCTCTTGGGCCGTCTGGGGGCCATCTCGAGCATCTTGGAGCGATCGTTCGGCGACCCTTGGACCTCTTCGACCGTCTGGGGGTCCTCTTGGGGCCCTCTTGGCCCGTCTTGGGGCCCTCTTGGGGCCCAAAAAGTCATCCGACAGGGTGCCGGGAACCCCGTGAGAATCGCGCCAAGCCCCGGGAGATATGACAATTTGGGGTCCGGGCCCCTTCAAGGCTCCTCAGGAAGGATGACCGAGGCTCAGGAGATGAGGCAAAATACCTGAGGACACGCCGACTCCGTGCCTAGAGGCACGGTGGCGGATTCGGTGGGGCCAGCTGCATCTCAGCGCTGGCATCCAGCTGACCTTGCGTCTGTGGTTTGGGCGTAGCTGCCTAGCTGGAGGGAGGAGGAGGGGGAGGAGGAGAAAGAAGGAGCCGCCCCGTGTGAGGGGCTGTGGGGGAGTGCGCCCGACCACAGAGCACCCGCGGCAAAGGGACCCGCGGCGCTCGGAGGAGGCAGGGTGGAGGAGGGGAGGAAGAGGGAAGCAGGGGGGGAAGAGGGAGGGGGTGTTTCGCCTGCTAATGGAGGTCAGCCTTTTCGGAGTCAAGACAAGGTGAGCTTGCTTCCCTGGACTTTTTCGTTCGGGGCCGCATCCCTTTCAACACGTGTTAATTCCCTTGGTTTCTCGTTGGTTATTCCTTGGGATCTTGGCCTGGGCGAGTCTTTTTCCCAGAAGATCTGTGTTCCTCAGTGTACCCTTCGCTTGCGCTCACCCCCAGCGGTGATTCTTAAATAATATGTTTTCCTTAGTGTGCCCTTCGCCGACGCTGACCTACCGAAGTCCGACCCCCATCAGCAGGCGAACCAGGATGGAGAAGGGAGAAGGAGGAGGAGGGACTACAAGGGAGGAGAAGTATCGGGAGGAAGAGGCGGAGGAGGAGGAGGAGGAGGAGGAGGAGGGGGAGCACGAGAGGGGTCTCGTGCCGTTTCCCCCCTCCGCTGCTACCCGAGACCGTTGCTCCAAAAGCGCCCCGCAGGGCGGTCTAGCGGGCGGGAAACATGTCCACATCCGCGGCCTCGCAGTCTGGACTCCCAGGCTGTGACTCGATAGACACAGGGCGGGTCTGCGAGGATGGCCCGCGCGGAGCGCATCCATGGGGTCGCGTATTCATGGGGTCGGGCCCCAGCATCGAAGCCGCATGGGCATAGGTTTGGATCATTCGGATCGCTCACCAGGGTCGGGTGAATTGAAATGGAGAGGGGGAACAGCACCTGCCGCGGACAATAGGTGTCGGCTCCGTCGTCAGGCCCTCTCCTCGATGCATGGACGCCCCTCGCGCAGAGAGGCGCCGTGAGCAGCAGCTGCATACAGCCGATTCGCTGATGTCCCCCTTGCTGTCCCCCCCCCACGTCGTCCGATCCGCGAGAAGGAGGGCTCGTCCTCCCGGTTACCTTCGACGGTGTTTGCCCCCTTGCAGCCCCTGGGGTGGCCCTCGTCGCCTCGGCTGGGGTCCCAGTGACAAGGGCGCCCTCGAGGGCGCGAAGTTATTCGCGCTTCGCGCTTCACGGTTCGGCTCCGATTCCTCCTCATCCTCTTTTGCTCCCCTGGGAGGCGGCGCGAGAGCGCGAAGTTATTCGCACTTCGCGCTTCGCGCAGCGCGAAGCGCGAAGTTGGGAGCCCTTGCAGTGATCGAGTTTCTGCTGGTCAGAGCGTGCTCGAGGGGGGGGGGTCCGGGCGTCGCTTTTGAGGAAGGAGCGTTACCCAAATGTTGCGCGATAGGAGGAGTGGCAGCAGGGAGATGAGCAGGAGGCCAGATGTAGATACCGCACCGAAGAAATCGCAATCCGCATCGGTGTTGCAACACGCCGCCCCGTCCCACAGACCTGAACCCCGGAAGTCCCGACGTGCGTTCCTTTCCCGCTTGCGAGCGCTCCCTGGGCTTCTGAGGTTCCCAGCCTGCCACAGGATCAGGACTTGGGAAGGCTGGAATACGCTCAGGAACCTCTGTTGAGCGTGTCGCGCCGCTGGCTCTGGCCCACCACTCACCACCCACCAAACCACCCCAACCCAACCCGAAGGCCCAAATTTATCCTCGATTTCCAGTGAGGGGGGGTCGGTGAACGTTGAAAAAACACATGGTATCCGTACCCCCCCCAACCCGAAATTCGGGTCAAATTCGGGTCTTCGGGTTGGGTTGGGGTGGTCTGGTAGGTAGTCAACCACGCTTCGGCGCGACACGCTGTCCATTGACCCGGTCACCAGGCGTCCACGTCCGGAGCCTTTCCAAGCCTCCCGCCCCGCGCAGCGGAGCGACACGCTGTCCGCTCGCAGGGCATGGCGTGTCGCCGCCGCCGCCGCCGCCGCGACACGCTGAGCAAAAGTTCCCGACTGTACACCTTAGGCGATGCTTAAGAAAACCCAAGTTTTCGGCCAGAGTCTCGATTATTCTTAACGTTTCCATGTAAATCCAAAGATTTGAATCGACATGTTGGGTTTTTATTCAAATTCTGAGACTATGAATTTCTTAACCCATGATTTTTAAAGCATGTCGCAGGGTGTAGTGTTGTTCATTCGGTGATGCTACAGGCGTGAGGAACCAGGAAGGCTGCGCGGGTCAGACCCCGGCTGCCGCGCAGCAAGACCGTCACAGCGCCAGCGCAGCGTCGGCATCATCCAAACGTAGTAAGACAATCCAGCTGCCTGCGACAAGTCCTGCCAGCCCAGGGGGAACGGGAGGTCGTCACGTGTGACACCTTGTGTCTCTAGGCGTGAATGATGGAGATGAGAACTACGATAATGACGTGGGTGATGATGTTGACACTGGTGCTGCTGCTGCTGCTTTGCTGCTGCTGCTGCTGCTGCTGATGATGATGATGATGATGATGATGATGATGATGATGATGATGATGATGATATAGTGGTGATGATGTTGCTGATGCTGATGATGAGGATACGTTTTCGACGACGATGATGGTGACGATGGTGGTGGTGATGATACTGATGCTGATGATGATGCTGAGGATGATGATGATGATGATGATGATGATGATGATGATGATGATGATGATGATGCTGATGATGACGATGACGATGACTACGCTGACGCTGACGCTGACGATGATAATGATCATGATGATGGTGATGATGGTGATGCTTCTGATGATGATGACGCTGATGATGATGACGATGACGACGATGATGATGCTGATGATGATGATGGTGAGGGAGTTGGTGATGGGGATGATTGGGATGATGGTGATGGCGATTGTGATGGTGATGATGTTGAAGAGGATGAGGATGAGGATGAGGATGAGGATGATCTTGCTGTTGGTGGTGGTGATATCGATGATCGGGAAGACGACGATCAGACGACGATTATGATGATGCATGATGCTGCTGGTGATGATGGTGGTGATGATGGCGATGCTGACGATGGCGATGACGGTCATGATGATTACGGTGATGCTGATGATGATGATGATGTTGGTGGCGATGATGACGGTGATGATAATGACGACGACGATGACGATGACGTGGTACGATAACGGTGATGATGAGGTGGATGTTGATCTGGTGTTGGTGACAGTGATAGCAAGGATGATGAGGATGAGGATGGTAATGATAATGATAATGAGGATGAGGATGCTGCTGCAGCTGCTGCTGCTGCTGCTGATGCTGCTGCTGCTGCTGATGATGATGATGATGATGATGATGATGAGAATGGTGATCATCATCATGATGATGGCACTCGTTTGGGCCGCCTGGGGGCTGTCTTTGAAGTCAATCCAAGCCACCCCCACACCCACTACATCACGGTTTACAGTCAACGCGCATAGTAAGGACAAACGACTTTTTCAAGGGTACCCCTGGGTCCTTGCCTGCCTCCGCCTCTGCGGCCCGTCCCCAGCAATTTTCGCAGGCCAGTTTCTCAGGCTCCCTGGGGGTTTGGCCGCCTGCCGCCCATAATACTTCAACTTCGGCCTCCAAGGGTCCTGCGTCCTTGCCACGCGTCCTTCCTCTACGTTTTCACTGTGTGTGGGGCCAGCGCCTTCTAAGAAACCTTCCCCCCTCCCCCGCCCCTGCCCCCCCCTGTGCGCCGCTACAAAAAAAGCGCGTCCTTGCCACGCGTCCTTGCTACACGCTCTCACTGCACATGCTCCACATTTTCTCTCTCGGGGGCCCGCGGCCCGACCCCCCTCCCGTGGCCCGCTCGTGCCCCGGGCGAGGCCCCCTGGCAACCGGAAGCCAACACGCCGCCGCCGAGCGAGCGGCGGACTCCACCGCTTCCATAAAGCCAAAACACGGTGTTTTCCAGACGCGATTCCCTGTCGGGCGACGAAATCTATACATATCCACTGCTCCCTGGCCAGGCCCACTCTGAACCCAGGATCTGTGTATACGCCCTCCTGGCCCAGCCAGGAGGGTGTGGCGTATACACTGCTGCTGGGTTCACGGTGTGCCTGGCCAGGGAGCAGTGGATATGCATATATTCGGTCGCCCTACCCTGGGACACTGTTCCAGTCGCGTCTGCGCACACGTGCGCCGGCGCAGGTTCACACATTCACGGGAAACGCGAAGTAGTGAGACGCAGAAGCGGTTGTACAACGACGAAACCCGTGTTGTACAACGACTCATGGAACCAGAGGTGTGGCGATTGTAAGATTCGCCGTGGGCGCGCGTCGACTACATCCACAGGCGTTCCGGCGAAAAAAACGTGCTGGTGGGAGTGGGGGTGGGTTGTTGTCTCTTGAGTCCTGGCCTCCTGTGAGGCAGTCTTGGGGGTCCCTTGGGGCCGTCGTGGGGTCCTCTTACGCTGGCTTGGCGCTCTCTTGGACCGTCTTGGGGCCCTCTTCGCAGTATGGTGGGTGTCTGGGGGCCGCCTTGGCGCCGTCGAAGGGCCGTTGAAGGGCCTTCTAAGGCCGTCTTGGGTCCCACGGGAGGCCCCCTTGGGCCGTCTTGGGGCCTTCTTGAATGCCTCTTGGGCCATCGTGGAGTTCTCTTGGCCCGTCTTGAGCTGAGGGCAGCCCGAAAAGGCGAGAATGCGAACATCATGCAAAGGCCAAAGGGATATCAATCATTTTGGTTTCGGACCTTGTTGGGAATGTTGGGCGCTCTTGCTTGGATCAATGTTCGGCCGCCTTGGGGCCATCTTGGTCCGTCTTCGAGGCAGGTTTGGCCATCTTGGTGTCCTTGGTTGCCTGCACGGGCCGTCTTGGAAGCTCGGGACGCATATCCATCGTTTCCAACGAGGGATCAATCATGGCGTGGGAGGTTCTGGAGCGCTTGGGATCAGCGCCTGGGAATGCGGGAAGTGCACGATCCTCGAGCGCGTGCGCGTGTGTTGAGGGGTCTAGGAATGAGCATCCACGTGGGAAGTGAACTATCCTCGAGCGGGCGCGCATGGAATGAGGGTTCAGGCATTTGCTGCCATGCTGGAAGTGCACCATCTTTAAGCGGGCACGCGTAGAATGGGAGATTAGGCATCAGCTGCCCACCCTGCCAGACAGACCTGTGCATTTTCCACGCCTCAACGTGCCAGGGGGCACTGTGGCGGATGTGTGCGAGTGCACCCCAGGGGCGACGCGCGCGCGCGCGCTGAGAAATCTTCTAGTACATGCTCGGTGGCGGGCGCGTACTGGCCGTACCCCTCGTGAAACGATCTGCTACAAGATGGTTGACACGACATGTCCAGGTCGGACGCGCGCCTCCAAGGGAGGAGGAGGAGGAGGAGGAGGAGGAGGAGGAGGAGGAGGAGGAGGAGGAGGAGGAGGAGGAGGATAGGGCCTCGCCTTCGAGGATCGAAGGACTTGTCCCCTCTTCCTCGGCGGAGGGTCGGCGGAGGGCAGCGGAGGTAAAACGGGGGGGGGGGCTCCGCTGGCGGACGGGCCGGCCGACGTAAAGAGTTGGCCTCCAAGGGCTGACCACAGTTTGGAGCGCATGGCTGCCGGGACCCGCCGCACAGTACCAGCGCGTGTGCTCTTGTGCGGCCGAGTGCCTGTTTCGGCAGCTATATAGTCATGGGGGCCTCGTGCACCCTCGCAATTCTGGCTTTCGCGTCGATTGGCGTCGGTCAGCGCCTGGGAGTCGATGAGATAGCGCCGATTCAGCCTCGGTTAGCTCAGGAGGGAAAGAAACACACAGACACAATCAACCGTCGACTCCCAGGAAAATATGCAAAAATATGGGAAGTGGGGGGGAAGACAAACAACCCCAAAATATGGGAAAATATGGGGACTATTTCTATTTGTGTGTATTTATTTGTGTGTCCTGGGGCCCCTTCATTAGCGTCGATTTGACGTCGACCAGCGTCGACTTTAGCGTCGGCCAGCCGCTGTGGCCGCGGCGGCCCTGCCGAGCCGCTCCCGCCGAGCACGAGCGCCGCGGAGCTGCGCCGCCTCTCCGCCTTCGGGAAGGGGGGGGGGGCGGGGGGGGGGCGCTTGGCCGCGCGCGAGGGCCGTCAGTCGGGGGCGGCAAAGAGGGGGGTGATGACTAGGGGGGGGGGGTATCATGGCGGGGGCCATGATATTTCCCCAGATCTCATGGCGCCTCTTCTTACTTCATTACGTCCCAGCCCCCCCCGCTGGGCCGCGGACACGCCGCCGGTCATGTTTTGCACCCCCCCTCTTGGACACCCCCCTCTTGGCCGCTCCCAAGTCAGGATGCGCGGCTCGGGGGAGGAAGCGGTACAGTCAACGCGCCTAGCAAGGACGCGCGCCTTCATCTAGGATGCCCTTGCGCGTCCTTGCCTCTGTGGCCCGTCCTTTGCCGTTTTCAGTGGTCGCCGCCGCCCAAAAAATCCCAACTTCAGCCTCCAAGGGTCTTGCGTCCTTGCCACGCGTCCTCAATATACGTTTTGACTGTAGCGATACCACCACCCGCGGCTTGGTCCTCTCGGGAGGCCCTCGTCGCCACGGCTGGATTCGCCTCGAGGTTCTGGTCAGAACGCCCCCCCTGGAGATGTTCGGGCAGTAGCGGTATCGTACCTTTTGGTGTCCCCAGTGGCCGTTCCGTTGGACCTTTGGAGGCTCCTTGGATTGAATGTTTCTACCTGGGTTCTTTGAGGCTTCCTGGGATCGTATCGGGAGCTTCCTAGGGGGCCTTTGGTTGGGGGCTTGCCGTTCATCCTGGGGCCGTCCTGAGACGCGTCCTTGGGCTGGCTTGGGCTCCACCGAGTTCTCTCGAGGGGTCTCGGCAATATCACCGACCCTGCAAGGCCAATGGTTTCCGTGTGTTTCCAATCGCCCTCCATGTCCTCCGGATGGCGCCGTTTCCCCCCGCAAGAACAGTCTTGTGGCATCTCGAATATCCTCTCGTACCTGTTCCGACCGTTTCATGCTCCTCGTCCCACGCTTGGGATCGTCAAGCCGTTCCGGTGTGGATCCCCGCCTGCTCGTGGTGAACACGGAGGGAGGGGACAGAGTAACCGATTGGCGCCCAAAATTCGCTTTGAGAGTCGAGATTCCATTCCGTCTCCATGCGTGCAGTAGCAATGTCGCTGGAGAGTCTGATCTCACCTCGGCTGGAGTCATCGCGCTTTGAATTCACATCGAAGTATGCTCGCCGTAGTAGAAATCGTCTTGCTTTGATCCACTGCACGCAGGGAAGCGATCGACATTCTCTCTCCTTGGCCCGCCGTCGCCGTCCAGGCGTGCTTGCGAGCAGACGTCGACAACTTCATCCTGCGGTACAATCTGCTCCACAACAAGGCTCTGCCTCCTCCCCCATCCCGGCTCTTCCTCCTGTCCTTCTCCCGCTGCTGGTGCTACCGCCTCGGCCTCCCCCTCCCCCTCCTACGCCTCCATCCCCCTTGTCTGTGTGTCTTCCCCCTTCGTAGTCGTCTTTGGCCCAGCGTCGTCGTCTTCGGCTCAGTTTCACTGCGTGCGCAAGACCGCCTTCTGTCGGCATTCCTGTTGCTGCGTGCGTTCGGTTGGCTGCGCCACCCGCCTCGTGTGGCATGTCGTGTCCGTGATCCCTCTTCCTTCCTGTTTCCGTTGCCGTGGCGCTAACGTGCGTACAAGCCCCGCTCATCAAAGCTAGATGTCTAGGCGTGCTGCTATTTGTCAGTGTCTGCCTTGGCCTCCATGTGGCTGTCCTCTTGCCCTGTGTTCTGTCCCTGCGATGGCGCCACACGGGCTGACGCCAAGTGGCGTGTGTGAGCGAGAGAACGTTTTTTGTTGCCGTTTTCAAGATAGTTTGTTTTGTTTTGGGAGGGTTGTTGTTCCCCACATGTTTCGCGGGGTTCTGGTTTTCTTCCCACCCGCGTCGCACCCGCGTCTTCCTCACACCTCCCTCCTCCCTCCTCCCTTTCCTCCTCTTCGGACACCGGAGGGGGTGGCAGTTTCTCGACACCAGAGGGGGTGCGCAGGCGGTGGTCTCTCACCGTGGACGCTATGCGCGCATCTCGTCCAGGCACCGCAGGCGTGGCAGAGTATCCACATGCAGCGGGTGCGCGGGGGGGCGTGCCAGGGTCCCAGGGCGTGGCAGGCGTGGCACATTCTCCACACCGCAGGGGGTGCGCAGGGGGTGGGGTCGCTATGCGTACCAGGTCTCAGGGCGTGGCAGGCGTGGCACATTCGCCACACCGCAGGGGGTGCGCAGGGCGTGGGGTCGCTATGCGTGCCAGGGTCCCAGGGCGTGGCAGGCGTGGCACATTCTCCACACCGCTGGGCGTGGCAGTTTCTCGGCACCAGAGGGGGTGCGCAGCGGGTGTCCTTGAGCGCGGCGTCTATGCGGGCCATGCCGCAGGGCGTGGCAGGCGCTGCAATTTCTCGACGCCAGAGGGGGTGCGCAGGGGGTGGTCCCTGAGCGCGGCGTCTATGCGGGCCATGGCGCAAGGCACGGCAGGCGTGGCAGCTTTATCGACGCCAGAGGGGGTGCGCAGGGGGTGGTCCCTGAGCGCGGCGTCTATGCCGGCCATGGCGCAGGGCACGGCAAGCATGGTATTTTCTCGACGCGAGAGGGGGTGCGCAGCGGGTGGTCCCTGAGCGCGGCGTCTATGCGGGCCATGGCGGAGGGCACGGCAGGCGTGGCACATTTTTGACACCAGAGGGGGTGCGCAGCGGGTGTCCTTGAGCGCGGCGTCTATGCGGGGCATGCCGCAGGGCACGGCAGTTTTTTTGACACCAGAGGGGTGCGCAGTTGCGGGTAGTCCCTGAGCGCGGCGCAATGCGGGCCATGGCGTGGGGCACGGCAGGTGCTGCAATTTCTCGACGCCAGAGGGGGTGCTCAGGGGGTGGTCCCTGCGCGCGGCGTCTATGCGGGCCATGCCGCAGGGCACGGCAAGCGTGGCTCTTTCTCGACGCCAGAGGGGGTGCGCAGGGGGTGGTCCCTGAGCGCGGCGTCTATGCGGGCCATGGCGCAAGGCACGGCAGACGTGGCAATTGCTCGACACCAGAAGGGGCGCGCATGGGGTGGTCCCTGAGCGCGGCCTCTATGCGGGACATGCCGCAGGGCAGGGCATCGCGCAGGGAAACATTCGCGACGAGGGTTCAGAACGCAATATTGCGCATAGATGATAATGATAAGCAAATGCATCAGATTCTGAAGGCCTGACGGCTGGTGCCGCCGACCCTGAAAGACATCGACGACGACCAGGAGGGGGAGGAGGAGGAGAAGGAGGAGGAGGAGGAGAAGGAGGAGGAGGATGATGAGGAGGAGGCAGAGATAACGAGGAGGAGAGGGGGAGGAAGCCCCCCCCCATGGGGAGGAGGACCAGAGGAGGACCAGCGTGGGAGAGGGGAGGAGAGGGGGAGGAGGACCCCCAGGGACGGATGCGCATCTGACTCCCCTCCCCCCCCCAGGACTCCTTCCCACCTGGGGAGGAGGACCCGAGGAGGACCGGCGCGCCAGAGAAGGACCGGCTTGGGAGAGGAGGACCCCCAGAGGCGATGCGAATCTGACCCCCCCCCCGGGACCCCCCCGCCGGGGAAGGGACAAAGGGAAGTGGCCTCCTTTTGACGTAACGAGGACGTGGATGGAATTCCCTCAAGTTGCGAACCGTTTCCCCGAACGAGGAAGGGTGCTCTGTCTCTTTCTTTCTTTTTGTTTTCTCTCTCTCTCTCTCTCTCTCCCCCGACGGGAGAGGAGGATGGGAGGGAGGGGACGACAGAAGGCTCCCCGTCGACGGGACCGGACAGATACAAGACACACGCCGACGGGGTCGGCGGATTTAAAGTCATTTTGTTGGGTTTCTTGGCAGCATAATCTCCGTGTAGGGATTGCAGCCTCGCCGTTTTCGGTTCGTTTTGCGATCCGTTTTCTGATTGGCTTTCCCAGCCATCTTGTGGTGTTGGGTCCCTGTTTTGAAGACACGGCGCCCTGCTTTTTCCTCCTCCCGCCTCCCCTGCCTTCCCTCCTCCCCTTCCCTTGCCCCTGCCATCCGCATGTATCTGCTTCGGTACACCCCTCACACGTTTCGTGGCCCCATAGGGAGCTCTACCGAAGGCCCCAGTGGCAAAGTTTGTATGGCGGCCCCGCCCAATTTCGTCGCACCCTCACACGTGCCGTGGCCCCATATGGAGCTCCACCACAGGCTCCAATGGCAAAGTTCGCATGGCGGCCCCGCCGTATTCGGCGCATCCCGCACACGTTTCGTGGCCCCATGTGGAGCTCCACCGCAGGCCCCAGAGGCAAAGTTCGCATGGCGGCCCCGCCCCATGTCGGCGCACCCTTCACACGCGTCGTGGCCCCATGGGGGGCTCCACCGAAGGCCCCCGTGGCAAAGTTCGCATGGCGGCCCCGCCCCATGTCGGCGCACCCCTCACACGATCCGTGCCCCCATATGGAGCTCCACCGAAAGCCCCAGTGGCAAAGCTCGCATGACGGCCCCGCCCTATGCCAGCGCACCCTTTCACACGCTTCGTGGCCCCATGGGGAGCTCCACCGCAGGCCCCAGTGGCAAAGTTCGCATGGCGGCCCCGCCCCATTCGGCGCACCTCTCACACGCTTCGTGGCCCCAAGGGGAGCTCCACCGAAGGCCCCCGTGGCAAAGTTCGCATGGCGGCCCCGGCCCACTTCTGCGCTCTTCTCACACGTTTCGTGGCCCCATAGGGAGCTCCACCAGAAGCCCTGGTGGCAAGGTTCGCATGGCGGCCCCGCCCCATTTCGGCGCACCCCTCACACGTGGCGTGGCCCCATAGGGAGCCCCACCAAAGGCCCCCGTGGCAAGGTTCGCATGGCGCCACCGCCACCGCACCCATTTCGGCGCACCCCGCACACGTTTCGTGGCCCCACAAGGAGCTCCACCGAAGGCCCCAGTGGCAGGGTTCGCATGGCGCCGCCGCACCAATTTCGGCACACCCCTCACACGGGGCTCACAACTGCGGTATCACAATGGCAGGACGAGGTTCGAGGATCGAGGACCTATGTTTGTAGACGGTTTCGGACATTTCCGTGCGATCTTGAAATTTCGGGAGGCTTTTGTTCTGCGCCCAACAGTTCCCTTCATCCGAGGACATGGTCATTGTGGTCCTTGTGCCCCGCGGCCCGAGCTGTCGAAGATGCCATGCCGGTCACCGAAAACCTGGGGTCTGGTTTCGGGTGTCGCTGGAAGGGCCCCTGGCCCACTGTGCCCTCAGGATTTCCAAGGAGGCCCCCACGACCTCCAGAGCACTCCGTCATGAGGCCCAGAGAGCCCCAGGGGCTCCAAAATGGAGCGAAAAGCTGGAGGGACCTCAGGCCAGGCACGTTTAGCAACCCCCGATCGTTTTGACACGACAGGGTTTAAACGAGCGTGCTTTTGCGACCAGAGGTCGTTCCGCCGATCAGAGGAGAAAAGTGTCTGATGCCGCTTCCCTGCCCTCGTTTCCGCCTTGCTTGGCCTCCTGAGATGGAGGCTCTCGTCGCCACGGCTGGCTTCACTTTTCCATCTTGGTCGGAGAGGTCCAGGGAGTAACGTTATCGGCACTGGCTGGTTCGCCCAGTCGACAAGGCGTGCAAGCTCAGTGTGTGTGTGTGTGTGCTGGCAGCCATACGCGTTTCTTCGCAGGGATGAAGCCCGCCCCATGATGAAAGGGCAATGTGCCCCCAGGCCCTAGGCTTCAATCTGCGTGCCGGGGCCCTTGTTCCAGACCGTGCCGGGTCCTCGATTTGAAGATCATGTGCATCAAGGTTTCGCATCAGACATCGCACGCCAAGCGACCGTTCCCCCCTTAGGATTGCTCGGCTCCTCCCGAGGCACATCTGGATGCAAATACGTTGGGTTGCGCAAGCATATCCGCCGACTTCATACCGCCGCGGAACGAACAGATGCACGGCATGCGCAGTGTATGATCATGCATCCAATCGACCCTTTGAATGTAGGTATCCTTCGTTTCCCGCATCCTATTCCTCCCCCGTCCATCCATCTCCCGTCCCCCACGTTCAGTAGCTGGCTCGGGCAATCGTCGTCGGGTAGTGCCTTCTTGTTTTTGCAATCCAAGGCGGTGGACATGCGAGAGGACATGTGGGAGCGCAAGGCGCGTCTGGAAGAATTCTTTGCCGACTTCCACAGCAAGAAGGAGCCACCCTCTCGACGGCAGACGGGCGCCCGCTCCAATCTTCCGGAAGTCCTCTTCTGCACCCGGGGACATTGATGATCTGTTTGTCTTCTCTCTCTCTCTCTCTCTCCCTCCGCACCGGGAGACACTGATGATTTGTGCACAAGGAGGTGACACTGAGGATTTGTTTGTCTTCTCTCTCTCTCTCCCTCCTTCGTCACACAATGAAGGCTCCCTCTCCCTCCGCTCGGTGCATGAAGTGGCACTGCTGATCTGTTTGTCTTCTCTCTCTCTCTCTCTCCCTCCCCACCGGGAGACAGTGATGATACGCAGAGTTTCTTCCTAAGCGTCGGGCGGGCGGCACCCCCGCCGACAGCCCCGCGTCGACCCTTGTCGCGGGCGGCCGCCGCGCGCAGAGGGTGCTCCGACCCCCGTCGCGGCGCGGCGACGAGGCGAGGTTGACCCCAGTCGGGGAGGTACCCCCCCCCACGCTTATTGAGAAACCCAGAGTCTGCTTTCTTCTCTTTCTCTCTGTCTCTCTTTCTCCCTGGGTTTTCCGTATCGCCCTGTGGCTCTTCATCTCTATATTTCTCTCTCTCTCTCTCTTTCTCTTTCTTTGTTTCCCATCCCCTTTTTTTGTCTCTCTCTCTCTCTCTGTCTCTCTCTCTCTCTCTTTCTCTCGGGACACGCAGGAAAGGTTTCTGAGAGCTCCAGATGTTGTTGGATAGGTCTTGCGAGCATCTTTGTGGCAGCACTGATGTGACTTCGGGGAATCGTGAAGCACTGTTGGGGCACATGCAGGGCTGCTGAAGGCATTCTTGGGGCGGTGTCCAAAGCAGCCTCCGAAGCCCAGAACGTTCTTGAGCCCGTTTCGACGCCTTTCGCTTCGCTTGCTGGCGCTCTTCGAGGCCGTCTAGGATGCCTTTGAGGCCTGTCAGGGACCATCCAGGGAACGCCAGACGCGCTCAGCCGACTGGTTTGCGCGCGCGCTCGGATGTGCAATGTTTGATGTTAGCGGGCGCAAAGGTGCGAAACCAGTCAGGCGCCGATCGGGCTACAGGTGGGACACGCCGGGAACTAATTGAGGCACACGCAAGGGCAGAAGAAAGCGAAAGGGCGAGAGCCGCTCACAACATGCAGTCCGTCGTGGATGTGCTCAGGACGCAAGGCGCCAAGGCGCGACTTGGACACGGGCAGAAAGGATGCGCAACCGCTTGCAGGAAAGTTGTGTGTCGTGCCTCCCCGAGGGGGGTCATCCGTGGGCCGCCTTTCGGGCGCTGGAGGGCTGCGGCTGCGAACCCCTGGGGCTCCCCGTGGCTCCCCGCGGGAGCGCGGGGGCGATCCAGCGGGGCAGAGCGTGCTGCTACGCACGACAAGAGTGCCGGTGCGAGCGGCCAGTGATGAGGTTATGATGCCGCTTTTGGTTTTGAGCCGGCTGCGATGCAACTCTTTCAGGAGGGGAAACAACACACAGACACAATGAATCGTCCATTTCCCCCCAAAAAAAAGATGGGAAAATATGGGGATTGGGTGGGGGAAGACCAAAACCTAGAAAGTAGGAGGAAATCTGAGGAATCCTTCTATTTGCGTGTATTTATCTGTGCGCCCCAGGGCCCCCTTCGCTCTTGCCCCGTCGTCAAGGGCCCCGCGCTCCCCTGTGATGGTGGGGTGGGAAGGCGGGCCGCCGCTCCCGGGCACTGCACGTGCGGTGCCAGGTGCCAGGCGCCGCCGCCAGGCGGACACGAGCGGCTGATTTTAACGGGCGAAGAGCGGTATAACATCAACTTTTGCGCTGTCGGGGGCGCCTGTACCTGGGCGGCTGGAAAGTTTATACCCCTGCGGTGGCACCGCAGGGGTGTAAACTTTCGAGCCGCCCAGGGGCAGGCGCCCCCGACAGCGCAAAAGTTTGTTTTATACCGCTCTTCGCTCGCTGATGATTGGGCGGGGGGTCGAGCGTGCGCCGCAGGGGGGAGGAAAGAGGGGGCGGAAACCAGTGGCTGCTGATTTTGCAGCATGCCACGATTTGGACGCCCGAAATGGGCACGGAAAGAATGGGTACGATGCACTACAACAGATGTTGTCCCAAACCAACAGCGCCCCAGGAGGATCGTGACGACGGTGACGATCATGCTGTTGAGCCTCATTCCTTGAACTCCCCGAAAGCACCAGTGCATCGTTTCCTGCCATTGGCCCGTTCTCGATGCACCCCACCAATCATCGGCTACGTCCAGTCGCAGATACGTAGACGCCATTGGTTGTTTCGTGTTGCTCGTCGCGTTGATCATACTGCCAACTAGTTGTTGCAAATGTTTCCCGCGCATGGAGCCTGTTTTTTCATTCCGAGCCGATAAGGGGGGAGGGGTCCGATGACGTCACGTTTCGCGGCGGCGGCGTCTGGGAACGCCTAAGCATGACCGAGGACGGGTAGCAGCAGCATGTAGGTGGCGATCTGCACCACAGCGCCTGTGTAAACAACAGTGCCTGCGTGCACCACAGCGCCTGTGTACACCACACCGCCGATGTACACCACAGCAGCCGCGTGCAACACAGCACCAGTGTGTGCCACATTGCTGGTGTACTCCACAGCGCCTGCGTACACCACATGAGCCGTGTGCAACACAGCACGGGTGTACACCACAGTGCCCGCGTGCACCACAACGCTCGTGTACACCACGGCGCCTGCGTGCACCATTGCAACCGTGCGCAACGCATCACCATTGTTGCATTTAGAATGTCAGAAGGAATCCTTGCGACAATGAGGCGCTTGTGGAGCCCACAGAAATCATTGCTGTATATAGGATTTGGAAAAGGATCCTTATGGAAAAAGGAGCGCCGCTGGAGTTTTCGTGTCCAACCCAGTCCTCCCGCGTCATCCTGACTCCTCCCATCTGCGTCCCAGAGGCTCCCGCAGCATTGGCCCACCGAGAACCAAGTGGACTAAATCAATAGAGCATTCTGCGGTGCACGCTGAGATGCGAACGTGCGCTGTAGCGCCGACAAGCACGAAGGGGGGAGGGGGGAGGGAGGAGGACCAAAAGGAGGAGGAGGAGGAGGAGGAGGAGGTGCAGGAGGAGGTGCAGGAGGAGGGAGGAGGGAAGAACATCGTATTCTATATCAGCACTTTCCTGGCGTGGTGTCTAACTGTCCGCAGCAGATCCTCACCGACGTGCTCCTTCCACCTGTCCTGTCCACGCAGGCGCTGTGGTGTACACCAGCGCTGCGTTGCACGCGGATGCTGTGGTGTACGCAGGCGTTGTGGTGTGCTCTGGCGATGCGGTGCGCGCAAGCCGCAAGCATTGTAGTGTACACAGGCGCTGTGTTGCACATGGTTGTTACGGTGTACGCATTCGCTGTGATGTACACAGGCGTTGTGGTGCACGCAAGCACTGTGGTGAACACAGGCGCTGCGTTGCGCACGGCTGTTACCTTGTACACAGTTGCTGTGGTGTGCATGCGCGCCGTGGTGCACGCGAGCACTGTGGTACACGCAGAGGTTGTGGTGCAGATCACCACCCCCCTCGGCGGCCATCCCTACGCATTCTCGGAGGCCGCCGGCGCGGAACGTGACGTCAGCTGGGGTGGGGGGGTCGGAGGCCGATGACGGCCGCGATGCAGGAGCAAAAATAAAGAGGCTCATGCTGACCCACGACCGGCAGCTGGCACTAGACACGATTGAGTGGATGGGTGTGGGAGGGGGGGGGTCCAGGGGAACGATGCCCACCTGGGGCCGAAGAGGAGATCAACGAACCAGCGAGGATGATCATGTAGCGATGATGACGATGACTCCTTGATTTCTTAATTTCAATGCTTGGGAACCCGAGCTCTTAATACGTATTATATGCTACCCCTCATTCAGTGCATGCTCTCCGTTACTAGTTACGAGGGGCAGGGAGGACGAGGAGGATGAGGGGGCGGATAAACAAGAGGAGGGCGAGGAGGAGGGAGGAGGAGGAGGAGGAGGAGGAGGAGGAGGAGGAGGAGGAGGAGGAGGAAATGAAAGAGACGAGGGAAAGAGGGGAAGAGAAAATAACGGGGCGGCGGAGGAGGAGGGTGGAGGAAGCAGGAGGGACAGGAGGGGTAGGAGGAATAGGAGGAATAGGAGGCGGGAGGAGGAGGCAGGAAGGGAGGCTGTGGGGAAGGGGCAAAGGCAGGGAGGAGCACGGTGGAGGTGGGAGGTCGTGCGAAGAGAACTATGCACATGCACATGCACCGATCCTGGCAACGCCCATCCTTGACCCAGGATCGGTGCATATGCCTTCCTGGCCAAGGTAAGAGGGCGTATGCACCGATCCTGTGCTCAGGATGGGCCTGGCCAGAATCGGCGTATGTGCATAGTTCTCTTTCCTCTAGGAGGGGGGGGGGAGGAAGGGCGGAGGAGGGGAGGAGCCGGAGGAGGGGAGGAGGGAGGCCGCCCAGCTCCGACCCCAGGAGAGGCCCCTGGACTTCGAGGTGCTCGCGCAGGCCCGCCCGCCCCCCCCCCCCCCGAGGTCCCGCACCTCCCTCGCCCGCGCCGGAGGAGGAGGGGGAGGAGGAGGAGGAGGAGGAGGAGGAGGGAGGAGGAGGAGGAGGAGGAGGAGGAGGAGGAGGAGGAGGACGAGGAGGAGGAGGAGGAGGAGGAGGAGGAGGAGGAGGAGGAACCCCTTCGCCGAGGACGACGCTGCTCTGGCCCAGCCCCCGCGCCCCGCCCCGCCCTGCCCTCCGCCCGCCTCGCCCCCCTCTCCGCTCCTCCGCGCCCCGCCCCGGCTCGCCTCCCGGCCCCGTCGCGTGCCCTCGGCCAGCGCCGATGCCCTTGGCTTGGCATCGCTCGGACGTGTGCATTTGTCCTTCAGCGAGGGCCATCGAGGAGCATCCTTGGTCATTTGGCGAAGAAAAAAAAACACGAGACCGAAAAAAAACACAGGGAATGGACGTCCGAGCGATCCGACTCTGACGAGCTTGCGTGCATGGAGGGGCGGGGAGGGGGGGGAGCGCGGCGATCAGAGGAGGACAAGGCACCTATACCTCTGCCCTCCCCTCGTTTCCCCTCTTTTTGGGGCCTCCTGGGGTCTCCGTCGTTGCCACCGTTGGATTCGCCCCGGAATCCTGGTCAGAACTCACCCCAGGAGAGGTCTGGGGAGTAGCGGTGCTGGTACCTTCTGGTGACCCTAAGGGAGGTCCGAAAGGAAGCCTGGACTCCACGCAAGTCGGAACTCAGTCGCACGCCTCTTGGGCCCGTGCTGGTTGAAAAGGAGGCGGAGGGGCGGGGAGGCAAAATGCCATGCCAGTGGACATGCCTGGGTCCTTGAGGCAAGCGGCTACTTGATGCGGCCCTACCCCCGAAGCGCCCCGTGCTTGCTCTCAAACGGCGGCGGGTTCCTCCGCTCGGCCCTGTGCCCGTTCGCAGCCCGCCCTCAGCGCGTGCCCTCCCGCACCAGCACGTCGGCTTCCTCGCCCAGCCCCTGCCGCGACTGCTGCCCCCTGGCCCTGGCGTGTGCCTGCCTCCTCCTCCTCCTCCTCCTCCTCCTCGGCTCCTCCCCTCCTCTCCTCCTTCCTCCTCCTCCTCCTCCTCCTCCTCCTCCTCCTCCTCCATGGCCAGCCCCGTCCCCGGCTGCCCCTGGTGGCCCCCGCTCTCGCCCTCCGCAGCAGCCGACCTCCCGCCAGTCCTGCCCCAGACCAGACCGCCCCCCCCCGGCGCCGGTGTTGCCGAGCCTCGGCGGAGAGCTGGCAGCACCCTCCGCTGTGCCGCAAGGCTTCCTTCGGCCAGCCCCGTCTCCGAGTGTCCGCGCCCTGGTGTTTGCCGTCCGCCGCCGCCGAGCTTCGGTGGTTCAACAGTTCACCACGCACCAAACCACCCCAACCCAACCCGAAGGCCCAGATTTATCCTCGATTTTCCAGTGGGGGGGGTCGGGGAACACTGAAGAAACACATGGAACCCGTACCCCCCCCAACCCGAAATTCGATTCAAATTCGGGTCTTCGGGTTGGGTTGGGGTGGTCTGGGAGGTAGTCAACAGTGGATGGGATGCGCTGTTTGAGGCACCTCGTCCTTAGGATCCCCCCCCCTAAGGACCGCATCTCTGAACCAGCGCCCGAGCCAAACTGCGTCTTTTCTCGGCTCTGTGGGCCGCTGTCTTTTTGAGTTCTTGCTGCAGCAAAGGGCCGCACGAAGACAGAACGAGGCAGAGCAACAACATAACGAAAATTAGCTCGAGCCCTGCTTTGAACCACCGAGAGCTCCTTCGGCGGCCTGGGCTCCAGCTGCCCCAGGGGGGGAGGCTCTCTCTCGTCGCCGCGGCCGGGCGCGGCCGGGAGAGGCGGGTCGGGACGGTGCGGGATGCCGGCGCGCACAGCGGTTTGGGGACGGGGGGAGCGGCCTCATGAAGAGGGCAGGGGGACTCTGCGATCGGCTCCCGCCCTCCGAGAAGCCCTCCCAGTCTGAGGGGGCTTCTCGGGCCTTCTGACAAAATGCAGGGAGCTTCTGGGCAGAAGCGCGGCCTTCTTTCGAAGGCACGGGGGCTTCCAAGAGGGGCTCGGAGCCGAGCCCTGCTTCGAAGCCCCCATGCCTGCGTTTGCCAGAAGGCCGCGCTTTCGCCCCACCCCCTTTGGCGCGTCGCCAGTCAGGAAAGGCTCAGCCCAGACGGAGTAAGTCCGTACGGAGAGGGAGCACCCCGTATGGATTGTTCCGTATGGACTTAGCCTCAGCCGAGCCAGGCCCAGGAGGGGTCGGGGGATCAGATCTGAGCGAAGCACGCCGCCGCCTGGCAGGTCACAGAGTGAGCCCCTCGCCACTGGGGGAGCGAGGAGGAGTTGAGACCTCGCGTGGCCCTCAGCGGAGGGTGCGCGGGGGGGGGTGGGGTCGGCGGAGGCTGAGCGGCGGGGTCGCATTCGTCGGCACAGGCTCGGGCGAAAGTCCAGTGGACCGAGCAGTGGCGAGGCGTCCTGGCTTGCTGCCTGCAGGCCCACCAGAGAACAGTCTAAGAACCTCTTGTGGTTTGCACGGGATGTTCTAAGAACAGTTCTGGCTGGGACGGTCTTGCTTCAGTACATCGGGCTCCTGTTCCCAAAACATGTGTTTGCAACGAGAACATTTGTTCGGTTCGAAGAACATGTCATGGTAGGCCGATACGAACGCCGGGACGGTCGGTCCCTGCTCAAGTGAAGGCTTCCCGTAAATGAGAGGTGAATCTTGCCGCCCTCGTGGTTTGCGGATGCAGCCGTTCGAGACTCACCCCCGCTCGACCCTCGAGCAAGCCGAGGACAGCAGTCAGCGAAGACCTGCAGGATCATGAGATGAAGGAACTGGAGTATTGCCTCGCCTCTCTGTCCTGCTTGAATACTTATATGTTACGACAGTTATTCATCTTGAGCGCTGACGACAAGGGCGTTTCCGAGCGGGACCCCCCTTCACCCCATAGACTCCTAGCACGGCAGCCTTCGGCCTGGTTGGGCGGGAGAGCTTTCCGGGGCCATCCCCTGATGTACAATTAATAGTACAGAACGAAGTCGGGATAACATCTCTCTTTCAATAAATTCACAAGTGGGAAGTCACTCCCGGCCACTTCCACACAATTTTGAATATCTCCCCGTATGAAACCAAACATAAACATCATTACCATAGTACTTCTCACCACAGCGCCCAGACATGCCAATTTTAGCCAATATGGATAAACTTTCGCAACGGGGATGTCTTATCAGGGTCGCAGAGTTGGACCCCCTGGCGCTCACTAAGTGCGGTGTAAACCTTGTTCACTCCGCCGTGTGTTGTGTTGGTAGCAGACGGTTATTTGGCCTTCTCCTTTGAGCATGACAGCGTGACCATGGTGTGCGTTGTTTGGTTCTCCGACTTTGGGCATGCCGTCTTGGGAAGCGAAGTCTTGTTTCGACATGCTCCCAAACGTTTATGATGCGACCCCCGTGTTTGCCAACGTGGATGGTTCGATTGAGTTTAGCGCTTCCTTCGCTACTTGAGTATTCCCAGTCTTACCTCACCGGACCGCCTGCAGGTCGGAAGCATCCAGACGTGGAGCTCCACCGTGAGGCGAGTCTCTGTCTCTCTCTCTCTCTCGCGCGAATCTCTCCGGAAGGGCATGGCTGGAACCCCCTCTTCGGAAATGATGGGTCCTTCCCGCGCCAAGAGGTATGCTGATGGTCCGTTCCGCCGGGGAGGGTGGCCGCCTTGTGCCCAGCAGGAGCACGTCTATCGGCGTCACCCCAACATGCTAATACTACAATGTGCGTCGCCCCCGCAGGGCCGACGCGCGCACCGGGAAATTCGATCGCACGGTCGGAACGGGGTGCAAGATCGAGGTCGGTTCGGGGAGGGTACCCTCCTGTTCCTCGCGTGTGTAGGGATGCTCTTGTGCATTCTGGGGGAGGCCACCCTCGCATGTCCTCTGTGTTTGGGCTGGCGGAGGGCCTCATGTGCTTGGAGGGCGGTGTTCTGTCCCAGGTCCGGCCGCATAGGCTTCGTGGCGGGCGCGTTTTTTGGGCCGTCCGCTCGGGAGACGACGTTCCCGTGAGGCTTGCGTACGACACGTCCAGGCCGCACGCGGCGCGCCTCGGGGAGGACACGCGGCACCCGGTTGGTCCAGCTGCGTCCCAGTCGATGCCACCTCGTCAGAGAGTACACGGCGGTCGTTGGACGTAGGCGGGTTTCTGGACGCCCAGATCCCAGGAACCGGTGTGCTTTTGCAGTGCTCTGCCATTCCCTGGCAGGGCCCGACCCCAGCCTGCGTTTTATCCACCTTCCTGCGGCATGCTTCTACCAACTTCTTCAGCTGCGCCCCAGTCTGCGCCACCACGTCGGAGGGCAGCACCAGTGAGCTCGGGGAAGCTCGGAGAAAGCGGGAGGCGAGGCCCCCACCTTTCGCTTGCCCCCGAATGTCGCGCACCAAAGGTTACACCACTGGCTTAGGGTCACTCTTCACCACCCACCAAACCACCCCAACCCAACCCGAAGGCCTCAACTTGACCTCCATTTGCAGTGGGGGGGGGGTCGGGGAACATCGAGAAAACACACATGGAACCCGTACCCCCCCCAACCCGAAATTGGGGTCTTCGGGTTGGGTTGGGGTGGTCTGGCAGGTCGTCAAGTCTTGCCTGCAGCCGAGAGGTCGCCACGAGGGTGCCGACCCCTCGTTGGCCGAGGCATGGCCGCGGTGCTGCCTCTGTCCGCCTCCGCTTCCTGCTGGCTTCCTGGAGCGACAGGTGCAGGGAGTGCGGTGCACCGTTCCGTCCTCGAGAGGAGGGACAGGAGTTAGGGGGCCACACGCGAACCCTAGCCCTACCCCCCCACGATTTCTGAGGGGGAGGGGTAGGGTTCGCATGTAAGCCCCTAGGAGTGCTCGAGTAGGGGGTCGACTACAGAATTTACTCATCCCCCAAAACTTGTCTCGCCGAATCTACGAATCGTGCGTGTAATGCTCGTAGGTCGGCGGGCATTCGACGTATGCCTCGTACATTCGACGAGTCAATCAGTTTTGGGGTAAACAAAGTCTGTAGCCGATCCCCTACTCGAAGTGTCAATGTGCATGCGGTCGGCTTTACATCAAGTGCGCGTGAGTTTTCACGGTTCCGCTGCAGTGCCGGCACCTGCGTATGTTGTCGCAAGATGTACGCGTGATGTGCAGTTGCTTACACAGAACAGTCGCACCAGCGGGTTCGTCGTGGCCAGCTTGCCATTGCAGCTGCGTTCGTCACCCAGCGAGGTTTATATGTTGTCTGGTCGTACGCCAGCTCGGTATACACCATTGGTTGTGTCCCCACTGGCCTTGCGGCCAGAATGCTCTGCCTCGCCTAGGGGTGCCCGAACCTGACAGCTTCCAAAGGACGTCTGGGCAGAGTTTGGAATTCCATGTGGGACCTGCTCAAGAACAGGAACATTACGTAGACTGATTTACCCCTTCTCCGACCTTGCACCACGCCAGACGCAACGCACACGTTGTCCATAGACGCATCCACCCCGAAAGTGTCGATGGACGTCACGGCACCCAATGTGACGCCTTTGGCGAGGGCGTGAGAACGGTATGTGACATCGGCCCTAGATGCTGGTCTTCTAGAAGCAGGTCGGCTTGGCCCTCCAGGGCCGAGTCTTCCGTGTCGTGCGCGTCGCGTGTGGCGTTGTGTCTTCTTTCGCGCGCGGATCTTTCAGGCCCAGCCATAAGCCTTATCCGCAAGAGGATGGGAGTGCTGCTCCCCACGTCGAGCGTTGTGCCTGGCATACTCGGCACGGCACATCACCGCAGTTGCCCCGCCTGTTGTCTCGAAGGCGTATCTCTGTAAGTGTCCTCATGCACCTCCTCTGTATCCCCGTCCTTCCTGTCCCCACCCCTCGCTCGCTCTCCCAAGCTTTCTCTTTGTTCCGCGTCTCGACGCTCGTCATCCTGAGCCCCCTCTCCTCCTCCACCTCGTCTTGTTCCTCCGCCTTCGCCCCCTCCTCTGCAGAGGATGTCCCTTTCTTCCACTCCTACGCCCCGAGGTGTCACCATTTGCTCGTCCGCCCGCTGCTCTCGTTAACGAACGCACCTGGCCCACCTCCCCTTTCGAGGGTATCATCGTCGCACATCTCCAGATCCTGGCCAGGCCGATCGTGGGCCCAGGGAAGCGGGATTCGCACACGAGACTTCGACGATTCAGCTGCCGGATGACTTTCTGGGGCCGCACTTGCAGCATGGGGCTCCCAGCTCAACTCAATCGAAGATCACCACCCACCAAACCACCCCAACCCAACCCGAAGGCCTCAAACCGACTTCCATTTCCCGTGGGGGGGGGGTCGGGGAACCTCGAGAAAACACATATGGAACCCGTACCCTCCCCCAACCCGAAATTCGGGTCTTCGGGTTGGGTTGGGGTGGTCTGGTAGGTAGTCCGAAGAAGAAACAACGCCACAAGCAGAAACCTTTGGCGTTCCGCGTGGCTTTCTTGGACCCGCGCCGGGCTCCCCTGGCGGCGCCTCCGGGGCCATCTCCTGGCGCGCTCCGCGCGCCAGGGAGGGGGGTCCCGCAGAAATCCGCGCGGAGCGCCAAATATATATATTATATATATATATATATATATATATATATATATATATATATATATATACATATTTACATACAAATATACATATATATGTATATGCTAATGCTGTGTGTTTTGTTTTTTGAGGTGTTTTGTTTTTTCTTCCTCTACTGAATAAATTCCAGTCCACCGTCACCCTTGCATGGAGTCGTTTCGCTCGTTCCTGCGACCCAGACTGATCCACCGCGGGCGTTTGCCCGCTTGTTTGTTGCCACCGCGGCGCTGAAGGGTGGTAGTTGTCTTGAAGTGTTGCGTGAGCGGTCCTGGGCGCCAAGCAGTTGTCTAGGAGCTTGTCTTGGGGGACTCGTTTGGGTTTTCCTTGAGGGCTTTATGGGACCATCGTGGGTGCCCATGAGGTCGGGCCAGTCCTTGGGAAGTCTCTGGAGTCTTTAAGGAAGCACAGTATGGACTCTTGGGGCCTTTTGGGAGCGTTGGGAGCCTCTTGGGGGCCCATTGCAGCATCGTTGGCACTTGCCTGTGTGCCCGCTGGGGCATTTTTGGAGCTTCGTGGGGCCTGTTGGGGGCATCTTGGGGCCTCTGGGGGGGGTCTTGGTGGTCCTTGAGGGCCTTTTCCTTCTGGCAATCTCGAAGGTCATCGTTGGGGGATGGGCTCGACATTTTCCTTCCGGCTCCACTCTTGGGGGCTTCTTGAGCCCCCTCAGGGCCCGCTGGAACCGTACTGGGGCCCTCTTGGACCGTTTCTGGCTCCTGGGAACCCATTCGGGTGTCTTGGGGTGATGTTTGGGGCCGCCCCGAAATTACCAAACCGCTGAAACATGATCAAACACCTGGGGATAATCTTTCTTTATGTGCTACCTCTCTGGGCCCTCTTGGGTGTCTTCTTGGGGCGCCCTGGATGCGTTTTGGAGGCCGCGTGGACCGTGAAGAAACCACTTTTGGATGTTTTAAAACGCTCTTGGACCGTGTTGGACCTCTTGGGCTCTCCTGCAGGCTCCGGGAGGCGTTCCTGGAGCGCCCTGGGGAGCCATGAAGGCCACGCCCAAGACGAGAACCATCTGCAGGAGGGACAGAAACACACAGACACAACTGGACGCCGATTCCCCAGAAGGTGTGCCAAACAGGGGGGAGTGGAGGGGAAGGCGAAAGTCCTGGGACCTGCGTGTGAAAGAGCACGGGCACTCTGGGATCTGCGTGTGTCCTTGGGCCCCTGCCGCATCTTTCACAAGAGTCGGGGGAGCGTAAGACCCGGGTTTGCCAGGACTCGGGTTCGCCATCGTTTTTTGACGACCGCGCCTCGGATTTTGACGAGGAGGAGTTTCGTGGGATGTCTGCAGCGGGAGGCCTCGTCAAAATGCAGGCTCGGCCTCGTCATTTTTTTGACGACCTCGTCGGGGATTTCCGAGTCCCCCGTACCCGGGTCTTACGTCTCCCCGAAAGAGGCAGGCCGGGGAGCTCCTTGCCCGGGGAGCCCCCACGGGCCGCCCCCCGGCACATCGGGGAGAAGCAGCTGCTGCAGGCCTCCTGGCCGGAGATTCCAGCACGCCCTCGGCCCGCTGGGCCCGCCGGGTGCCCTCCGCATCTTCGTCCTTCCTCTCGAGTCCCGAGCCGAGCCTCGAGATCTCCCTCCCCATCCTCCCTCCCCACCCTTCTCCCTGCCTTCGTTTCTCCTCCCCCTGGCCCCTCCCCCCGAGCACGCGCGCTCCTCCTCCTCCTCCTCCTCCTCCTCCTCCTCCTCCTCCTCCTCCTCCTCCTCCTCCTCCTCCTCCTCCTCCTCCTCCTTCCTCCTCCTCCTCCTCCTCCTCCTCCTCCTCCTCCTCCTCTTCCTCCTCCTCCTCCTCCTCCTCCTCCTCCTCCTCCTCCTCCTCCTCCTCCTCCCCCTCCTTCCCTCTCGGGCGGTCCTGCTTTACACGGGCCAGAACTTATCCCCCCGGCGAGGTCGCAGGTGATTGCCCGACGTGGCAGTGCGACGATCCCATTTACACTTCACTCGAACCTTCCAAGCGGCAGAGCCGTCAGGCAGAAACAACTGCTCAGGATTGCTATCGTCCCGTTCCGTTCCTCCTCCTCCTCCTCCTCCTCCGCTTCCTGCTCCTCTTCGTAATTGTTGAGCCGCTCTGGCGTTGCATATGGACCAGAAGTACCGTGCCGAGCTGCAGCAGCAACCATCTCCAGTAGAAGGCAGCTCTGTTTCTACACTGCGCGCGGGGCACGCCGCGATTGCCGCTCTCGGCTGAGGCTGGATCTGCTGGCCTGCCGCTCCCCTCCCCCTGGGCGACGTGCACTCCGCTGCCTGTTCCCTTGTTCCCTGTTCCTCCGGAGCCCCCACCCCCCTTCGTTGGCACGGCCGGGCGCGGCGGACGGGCCCTCAGGCAGGATCTCTCTCTCTCTCTCTCTCTATCGCCTCTCGGCGCGGGAGCTCCCGAGGCCCTCTCTGCGAGCCGCGCGCTACCCGCCGACAGACCGCAACCTCGGAGAGCAAAACTCTGCCTGAACATGAGTCCTTGGCGTCGCTCGGTGTTTTTTATGTAAGACGGCGAGGGCCATCGACAAGCAGATTGGATCACCCTGCGGAAAACTACATGAACCCAGCGACGTCGAAACATGCATTGGGGAATGGACGTCAGAGCGATGGCGAGATTCCGGTGGGGCTGGCGTTCGTGAAGGAATGTGCCGGGGAGGCTGGTAAGTTTTCTTTTCCTCCCCACGGTAGCGCTAATTACCCGGGCCAACCCCCCCCTCTCTCCCCCGGGTAACGCTAACGATCGTACGGGGGGGTTGCCTGGACCTTTCCCTACATGCTCTGGTGCGCACAGGCGATTGATGCGCCGGGCGCGGGCGCACCCTGGCGTGTGCACGCCGCGGCCGCCATTACCGTCACCCTCCCGCCCGAACCCCCCCCCCGGAACTATCGTTACCCAGGAAAAAAAATTGGCACTTGCAGACCATGGAGGGCTCCTTATCTGATGAGGGCGGCGGTGATATCCATGGTGGATCCACGATTGCAGCCCCGCCGGCTTCCAGACCCTGGATTCCTTATCCGACGGTTCCTTATCCAGTGCCCTCACCGTAAAGCCCGTAGCCCCGTCCCCTTTCCCTCCGTTTGGCGTTTCAGCCGTGCGGCTGGAGCATGTGTAGGGGCGGAAGCGGCTGTGAACATGGCGGCGCTGCGGTAAAACATCCGCGCTTGAACCTTGTGGTGCTGAGGTAAACCATCACTTGCGAACCTGGTGGGCCATGAGGTAAACCATCTCGGGATTATGTTTGCAAGAGAGCCTGCGTCCACAGTACAACAGCCATACAAACATGTCGTCACCGTAATTTCTCGGAGCTCCGCGCGGATCTCTTGGATCGGCGCTGCCCTCCCCGCCCCCCCGGGGCGGCGTCTCGGGCGCCGCCCCGGGCGCGTTCCGCGCGCCGAGGCGGGGGTCCCAGCGCCGATCCCAGAGCTCAGCGCGGACCTCCGAGGAAGCACGCTTGTGCAACTTGTTCTGGTCTCTCTCTCTCTCTCTCTCTTGCACGCTGGACACTTTGCCGATTGGTTGCCCGCTTCGCCCCGCGCGGGTGCGGATGGCCCCCGCCCTGCCGCCGACGGAGCATGCTTGTGCGGCGCTCCGGTCCCTCGGCCCCCCGCCCGCAGCAGAAGCGCCCTGACCACCGCCAACAACGAGCGCAGGGCCTCGGGGTCCAGCGGGGCGGGCTCGCCCAGGCGCGGCGCGCGCCGCCCGCCCGGGAGGGCCCGGGCCTTCCAGGGGGGCTGCGGGCAAGGCGCCAGGTTGTTGTTGGCCTTCCACGGCAGGTTGTTGTTGGCCTTCCACGGAAGATGCTGAGGCTAAGTCGTGCGTGTCCCTCTTCTTCAGGATAAACATTGAAACAAAAAACAGTGGAACATAATATTGTGCCGATTTGTCATGCTATGCTCAAAGTATTTCACAAATAATATGGAAATAGTTTTGTGGAGACTGGCTAGGCGAACGTACGATGCACCCGGTTGGAAAACACGATGCGCCGCGCGGCGCCACCATGATTTGTTTCGGCCCTTTGGGGGGCCGTCTTGGGGTCCTCGGGAAGCCGAAAAGGCGGGAATGCCAGAAAACATATGATTTGGCCTCTTCAGAGGTCTCTTAGAGGTCTCTTTGCGCGTCGTGGAGGCCTGTTGGGCCGTCTGGGGGCCATGCTTAGCGTCTTGGAGCGATCGGTCGGCGACTCGGGGCCCTCTTGGACCGTCTTGGGCGCTTTGGGGGGCCCTCCTGGCCCGTCTTGGGGCCCTCCTGGGCCCGAAACGGTCCCGCGACAGGATGCGGGGGAGCCCCAGGGGGGCACTAGGGAAGAGCCCCGGGGGGCACGCGGCAAGCCACGGGAGATCGGTGATTTGGGAGTAAGGGTTGAGGCTTTTGAGGACTGAGGATGGGGTCCGGGCCCCTTTTCAAGACTCCTCAGGAGTGATGAGTGAGGCTGAGAGGATTGGGCCCAGGACCTGCGGACACGCCCGCTCCGTGCCCAGCGGCACGGTGGCGGATATTTCAAAGGGGCGGTGGAATGTGCTCCCGCTGGAAGTGGGAATGTGCTCTCAACCCCTTCTCATTCCGCTGGGGGTTCTGGGGTAAGCTTGCCCCCTGCAGCTGCCATCGGGATGAAGTTTTGCCATCTTGATAACAAAGCACACATTTGATTATTTTCCGTTGGCGTCACATGCAATGTTGCACAGGGAGGTGCGTCTTGAGAATCGTGCCCGACAGGTATTGGATCCATTTCGCGCGTCTGACACGCCATCGCATCGGATTTTCTTTCGTGCGCTACATTTTGAGCGAGGAGTTATTGAGCACGTGAATGAGTTTCGTCCTCCTGGCGCATAGTTTGATTCGGAGCAGGTGTTTTCGGTCTATGTGTCCTTCCCGCCGCCATGCTCCGTGCCTTGCTTTAAGATTGCGAGCGCGGATCCAACACAGTGGCTCGTGCACTCGATGTGCCGCGTATGGCCATGTCGTGCTATATAAATGTGTGATGATGTGTGTGGTGCAAGCTATGAGGTGCAATTCGTTTTTATAGATGAGTTGACAATTCTATGCCCTTGCAAACATCCCACCCACCCACCCGCAATTAGGTTTGCAAAACCTATGCTGCGGCGAATGCGATGAATGCTTGGCGTTGGCTGGTGTATCTCTGCGGCCACGCTAGCCCGCGCATGCTTGCGCGCACAGCGGCCAAGTAGTTTGGCGCGACTGGCGCGGCCGAGGTGGCGCTGACCGTTGGGCACTTCCTTCCCAGCGGGCACAGTGGTGCGAGTCGGTGGCTTGGGCGGGCGCGGTACCATTGCGACGCCGACAACGGTTGCACGATTGTTTGGGTAGCGATGGTTGCTACGATGGTGGCGATGATTAGGGCAAGGCCAATGACGGCGCCGATGTTAATTAGCCCGCCGATAACGATGACGATGTCGTTGCGTCAGCGATCGCAAACATGTGTTAACGGAGTTCAACATGCGCGCGTTGCCCGCGTGGTATTATGTGAAACGGATCGTGCCCCCCCCCCCACGCGCGTAAGGGCGTTCGAATGAGTCCGACATGCGGCACGGGAGGCCCGCTTGGCAGAATGTGATGAACATGGTAGGTTAACCGATGGTTGTCCTAAGAACCCGCATGACCGCGAGCGCAAATTTTGAAACAGCCGCAAATGTTGCAACAGTAGCTGTATTTATATGTATTCGGGACGCTATTGTTTGAAATCCTTGCGAAATCTGAGTTGTTGAACGATGTCGGCATGCGCGCGACGACGCGCAAGGGCGCACGTCGTCCCGTTCTTTACAAGGGATTTGTGCGACAGCACGCGCGCAAGGACATTCGAGCGATTTCGACGCGCGTGCGAGAGACCCGATTGGTATCATTTTATGAATGTGGTGAACAAGCTACCTTTTATCTTGCGAAATCGCACGAGCGCGGGCGCAGGTTTTTTTGGAACGCCCTTGCGGCGAAACCGTGATGATTATCTTTTCGGGACTCGATTCTGAAATCTTTCCGGGACGTACGGTGTTTGAAAGATTTCGGCATGCGCGAGCGGCGACGCGCGCATATGCACTTCGCCCCATGTTTTGCATGGCGCGCGCATCGTATTTTCTGCAGAGGGGGAGGGTGGGAAACGCGACTGGCCTGCTTGGGATGGTACGGATTCATCTTTAGGATGGACGATGGGGCATAGTCACATGTAAATCGCAGTACGACTACTTGGCCCGATAACCCGGCGGGGAGGTCGGAATGCTATTTTAAGAACGAGAACCTATGGGTTGTGATCCATTTTGCAGAACATTGGAAGGCGTCAGTTCCACTGCTCGCGTAATTATTACACCCCTCTTCCTGCAACTTGCTTTGCACAGCCCATGCGGCCGCGATTGCTGAGACTACTTGGTGCGGGGTGGCTCAAATCTACGGTTACGCCAGCGCGCGCAAGCTCGCGCGCAGAGCGGCCAGTTGGTTTGACACAGCCGACGCGGCCGCGATGGCGGTTACTCACGGGCCCGCCCCAGCGCGTCTCACAAACCGCGCTGGTGCGCAGGCGCGTTAGCGCGGGTTGGTGGCTCGGGCGGGCACGGTACTGTGATTACGATGACGCCGACAACGGTGGCCACGACGATGACGCTGATGATTTCCATGTGTCGGTGATGAAGGTGATTCATTGATGATGGTGGCAATGATGGCGACAAGAGATGAATGACGGCGGTGGTACAGTAGCGTTCTTGGGGGTGGTGGTGGGGCAGTGCGCTCGGAAATGCCAGACACTTGGCAGACTGTTTGATCGGAGATAATTAAGCTCCCATCTGTGTTTGAAGATCTCTATTTTGACATTGTTGGAAAACTGGTGGTTTTGGACGTATGCGGGCACGCTCGCATGGCGGCGCGCGGGCGTGTGGCCTGCATGGTATTATTTTTTGTGGATTCACGCACCGGGCGCATGCTAGATCAACGCGGGTGCACCGCGTGAACATATTGTTGCGGCCATGCGGTTTCCATGGGATCAGCACGTGCGAGCTGTCAGGATTTGCTTGGCAAAACCCACTCGGGCGCGACGGCTGCTCCCGATTAGTACTTGTTAGCGCGCTTCTACGGCCGCATTGGCACGCGCACGCTCGTGTGCACAAGCGGCCAGCTGGTTTGGCACAGCCGACGCGGCCGCGATGGCGCTTAGGACAGATCTGGAAGCGTTGTAGTCGTCATCATCGTCGTAGTCGTCGTCCTCGTCGTGGACAGATCTGGAAGCGTTGTAGTCGTCGTCATCGTCTGGATCTGGACGTTCGTCGCCATCATCGTTGTAGTCGTCGTCCTAGCCGTCGTGCCCCAACATCTGTCCCGTCCATGCGGAATGGGGCGAGACACATAGGCACACGACGCCCAGGAGCAGAGCAGCCACCTCGTGGTTTGTACCACATGTTTGCTACGTGCAAGCGAAAGAGACTCGACGATTCCTGCCCCGTCGCTCGTTTCCCATTCGTTGGGCCACTTTCGCCCAGAGGGCTGGTGGGATTCCTGCTCAAGGTTTCAAGGAATCCAGCCCTGTCTGACTTCTTGCCCCGGTCGCCTCCCCTCCCCATCCTTGCCCCCACCCCTCCTGCGACAATGGCAGCGCTGACGACGATCACTACGAAAAGCCATCGAGCGACGGCGACGGCGCGGCAGCAGGCTGGGCGACGCCTCGCCAACCGCCGCGGGCACCCCCGCGGCAGCGATAGCGGCAGGGGCCGTCAAGGCGCGGCACGGGGCCGCCGCCCGCGGCAGGGAGACGGTTGTCGCCGCCGTCGTCGCCGCCAGATCACGCAGATTTCATCGCGTCGTGGAAGAAAGTCACTTGGGAGGAGGAGGAGGAGGAGGAGGAGGAGGAGGAGGAGGAGGAGGACAGAGGAGGAGGAGTGAGGAGAGGAGGAGGAGGAGGAGGAGGCAGAGGAGGAGGAGGAGGAGGAAGAGGAGGAGGGTACGGTCGAAGTTGGTATGGAAAGATTGGACATGAAGGCCGACAGCGGTTGCATTTCAAGTTGAACCGGAGTCGCTGTCGGTGTCCCCGCGGAGGTTGTCAATTTGAGACGGAAGGCGGGCTGCCAAACCGCAGCCGCCGTACCGGGCATCGTACCAATTTCGGGCGCCGAGGGTCACGGCGGAAGGTTGGACAATGCTCGGCCTGCAGGGGCCTTGACCAGGCCCCAGGACTGTGCGGGCTAGGGTGTAGGCTATGTGGGATACGCTGGTGTGTAAGCTATGCAGCGTGAGCTCTGTGGTGTGAGTTTGGGGTTGTAAGTTGTACGCTACTCGTTGGTGTAAGCTGTGTGCAGCTATGAAGTGTAAGCTATGTGGTATAAGCTACGTCGTATAAGCTAGGCAGGTGCAAGCTGTGTTGTGCAAACTAGCACTGTCAAATACGACTCGGGATGAAAAGCGGGTCCTTGGGAAGGGGTGCAGACCTCCGGGGACCCACGTTGCGAACAAAAAAGTCCCGACGTCGGAGATTTTGGTCTTCGTCCACGGCCCAGGGGAGTGCCCTCCGCAGAGAGGCCGTCGCCGCCGTTGCCCTCCCCGAAGGCAAGCTTGGGGGCAGCAGGCCCCTCGGGGGACCTGGGCCAGGTGCCCCCCCGGGCCGGGACCCCGACGGCCGCAGCGCATGATGTGCTGCCAGGGCCCCCAGACCAGCACCCCGACCACGCGGTCGCCCCTCCGTCGGCCGAAGATCGTTACCAGACGGCCCAGGACGCTCGGAAGGCGACCCGACGTCGCATCCAATCTGCACGCCCGAAATGGGTAAGGAAAGAATGGGTACAGTGCCCAACAGCAGTTCCTGTTCATTTGGGACAGGGCTCGCTGTTGGTGTCGCCGCGGCCTGTGTCCGTTTGAGACAGGAGGCCGCCTGCCCAACAGCGGCCGCTGTTGGTTTGGGACAACATCTGCTGCTGGGCATCGTGCCCATTCCTTCCGTGCCCACTTCGGGCGCCCAGATCCACGACGGCCCAGCAGCTCCCCGAGGTCGGCCCCAGGCAGGCGGGGCCCCGAAGACCCCCCCCCGGCGCCGGGCGCCCACGAGCGCCCCCGCGAGGCGCCTTATACGGGCGGGCACAAGGCGAAACCGCTGCCATCCCCCCCCACCCCAGGGGCGGTCGCCCGTGGGGGGGGGAGCGATCAAGTGATTTTGCGTAATCTTGAAAAGTCGGACGCTGGAACATGTACAGTACCGGTGGCGGGCGGCTGTGCTTCAGTCCGAGGACTCTTTCTGGGGGTCGGGGACGACGTCGGGGTGGTGTGGGACATATTTTTTGGTGGCGCACCATATGATGTATCAGGTCTCGTGCCCCTCCCACTGCTCCAGGGAGGCCCCGCCAGAGCGAAGAGGGTATCGGCACACCATATGATTTATTATGTTTCGTGCCCCTCCCACCCTTCAGGGAGGCCCCGCCAGAGCGAGGAGCGTATCGCCACACCATATTATGTATCAGGTGGCGGGGGCTCCCTCCGACCCTCCACGGAGGCCCGTGTGCTGCCTTCATCGGAGAGTCTTCCATGCGATGCGGCAAGGCTGCTCCGTGGAGGGCTCCCCGCTGCAGGAGCCAACATCTTCGATCCAGGGGAGACGGCGGGGGCTCCCTCCGACCCTCCAGGGAGGGCCGTGTGCTGCCTTCATCGGGGAGTCTTCCATGCGATGCGGCAAGGCTGCTCCGTGGAGGGCTCCCCGATGCAGAAGCCAACAGCTTCGATCCAGGGGAGGCGGCGGGGGACCCTCCCGACCCTCCAGGGAAAGCCGTGTGCTGCCTTCATCGGGGAGTCTTCCATGCGATGCGGCAAGGCTGCTCCGTGGAGGGCTCCCCGATGCAGAAGCCACCTCCTTCATGTCCTCCTCCTCCTCCTCCTCCTCCTCCTCCTCCGCAGGCCCCGCCCGGAGCGCCCGGGCACGACGGCCGCAAGGTCAGCGGACAGACCGCGACGCGGCACCATTGTTGACCCTTCTACTGCCCCCAACCAGCCCATCCAGAAACGATGCTCTTGGGAGCTAGTGAGGAAAGGAGGGCGACAGTCTAGGTGACAATGTGAGCGGCAGGAGTGCGCTGGGAGATCTCCGGGTGCGTGACGGACTCTTCGAATGCCTCGCGAGGCAATCCTTGACACCTCCGTGCGAGGCACGCGGGGAAAGAGGGCGAGAACGAAAACGCCGAGGACGAGGAACAGGGGAGAGGAACAGGAGGAGGAGGGGGAGAATGACAAAAAGGACAAAGAGAAGGAAAAGTAGGAAAACGAGGAAGACGAGGAAATGGCGGAGGACGAGGAGGAGAACGAGGAAGAGGATGAGGAAAAGGAAGAGGAGGAGGAGGAGGAGGAGGAGGAGGAGGAGGAGGAGGAGGGCGAGGAGGAGGAGGAGGAGGCTCCGTAGCCATTTTGGCTCAAGCCGTCGGACGCGCCCCCGGGGCTCAAGCTGGCTCGTCATGTGCGTCCGGTCTGCTGCTGCTGGAGGTGTTCCGGACTTGGGAATGGCGCGGGAGGGCGGAGCTTTTCTCCGCCCAGTGCGCTCTGCCGAGGCCCGCCGGGCTTCTCGGGCATGGGCGCGTTGGTCCGCTGACCGTGCCGTGGCCAAGCGCGTGGAGGAGCTGCAGGCCGTCCGCGGGCAGCTGGCAGCGGCGGAAGCGGCCCTGGACTACATCGTGGGGGATGCGGAGGTGGCACAGCGTCTCCGCGCACTTCTGCCTGCCTTCGTGGCCAAGCTCCAGGGGGTGGAGCCCACCTGGCCGGAGAAGCTGCGGGGAAATGTTGCGCTCCACGCCGAGGCCCTCGAGATCGACGTGGCGACAGCAGGCGCTCGCGAGCTTCGCCGAGCACAGCGTGGGCCTCGCCTCGAGGCACGGCGCGCGGGAGTCGGCCGCGCCCCCACCAGCCTCTTTACTGATGCGGCGGAGTTCGTCCCTGGCACTTGGGAGCTGCTGCCCGTGGGGCCCTCCGTCCACGTCGTGCAGGATGACTCCGAGATCCACGAACTCTCGGACGCGGAGGCTGTGCAGTTTCCTGTGCTGGGGTCCCACCCCCCCAGTACGGACGGCTCTGAGGGTGGGGCAGGAGGAGGAGCCGAGCCACCTGCGCCGCCGCCTCCCGTGGTCTGCGAATGGTCTCCTGCGGGCTTGCCGCTGGACCCTTGGGAGGGCCGCCTTTTTAGTATAGATGCAGCCTCTTTGGCGTCGTCAGGTGGAGTGGATAGTTTCACGCCGTCGAGGTTCTTCTTCGATCCTGCTGACGACGCCGACGACGACCCGCTCTGCGACTACGACTTCAGAGGCTTCGCATTCTGAATTGATGATACGTGTGCTCCCGTGGTACCTCTTCGCTCTCGGCTCCGAGTGGTATCGTTCACTTATGATTCACTCTGGTGTGGGTGCGTTTGTGTATATGATGTCGAAGTAAGGCTTTTCGTCTGCCTCGGAGTTCTGGGTATTGGGCTTCTGCCATGGTTTGCAGGGCGTGTGTTGGCATTGCTGTTTTTCGTTCGGGGCTTCCTGGTGATGTCCGTTGTCATTGTATGTGGCTGCCGCGTAGATCAAGCCGTTCTGCACCGCGTGGGGTGGTACTTCATTTCAGTTATCCGTCGTTGGCGGTTTGGTGGTAATGTCTTCAATCGTATCCTGGGCAGGTCTACTCTTTTCGTGGCACTGCAGCACGTCGCACTGGTCATGTGGGTAATCGTGGAGTTTGTCGTCACGGCCTTCTTGCGCAGTGCTCTCTTCTGTGGCATGGGCGTTGCTGTCAAAAAAAGACGAGGAGGAGGAGGAGGAGGAGGAGGAGGGGGACGAGGAGGAGGAGGATGAGGAGAGTGAGGAGGATAGGAGAGAAGCACGAGGACGAAGACGCGACAGAGGAGAAGGAGGGGGGTGATAGAAATGACTGGAGAGGGGTGAGGGCAGGTCGGCCACTTCATGACAAAATGCCCCTTGATCCCGATAGCCGCGTAACATCATTATGTGGGGAACTCTGTTCGCATGTTTTTTTGTTTTTTCCCGGGGAAGCAACAACAAATATACACCAGGGTCCCGTAGGCGCCAGGTTCTGCTTTTCTGTGCGAATCTCAATGCAAAGCCACGGAAAACTTCGGCGTATACAATCCAGTCCTCATTTAAACAATCCACGGCAGGTGGAGGACCTCCAGGGTGTAGACCCCCCGGCCCCCCACTGTCCGTCGTTTTCCGCCGGCGCACTGTTGCCGCGCGCTGCGGGCTTTTGCCGACGTCCCGGACGGAGGGAAGGGAAGGAAAAGGTGGCAGGAGCAGGAGGAGAGACAAGGGGTAGGAGGGTAGGAGGGCAGAGGAAGACGACAGGAAGAGGAGGAGGAGGAGAAGGAGGAGGAAAGGAGGAGGAGGTGGAGGAGCAGGAGGAGGAGGAGGAGGAGCAGGAGGAGCAGGAGGAGCAGGAGGATGGAAACAGTGAAGGAGGGAGGGGAGAGACGGGAGGAGGAGTAGGAGAAGGAGAAGGAGAAGGAGAAGGAAAAGGAGGAGGAGGAGGAGGAGGAGGGATGAGGATAATGAACGGGGATGGAGGAGGATAATCGAGGAGGAGGAGGAGGAACAAGAACATGAGGAGGATGGATGATGGAGCTTAGACTTCGGCGGGGGAGGATGATGGAGGACGGAGGAGGACGGAGGAGGAGGAGGAGGAGGAGGAGGAGGAGGAGGAGGATGGAGGACGGCGGAGACGGAGGAGGACGGAGGAGGACGGAGGACGGAGGAGGATGGTGGAGGAGGAGGAGGAGGAGGAGGAGGATGGAGGATAAACAAGAGCTCCCTCGAGGGCGCGAAGTTATTCGCGCTTCGCGGTCCTCGTTCCTTCTCCCCCTCCTCCTCGTCCTCCTGTTCTTCCTTGGGGGGGCGGCGCGAGAGGCCGAAGTTATTCGAGCAGCGCAAAGCGCGAAGTTGGGAGCCCTTGATAAAGGAGGAGGAGGAGGAGGAGGAGGAGGAGGAGGAGGAAGAGGAGGAGGAGGAGGAGGAGGAGGAGGAAGGCCAGACGTAGAGGAGGAGCGCCCCACGAGGCCGAGCCGTCGGAGCGCTCCCCGCGCCAGCCGCGGCCGCCAGGCAGCCAGGACTCGCTGGCGCGCACTCTGCTCGGGGAAGCGTAAGACTCAGGGGCACCGATAGGGGGGGACAGGTCCATCCTCGCGTCTTGAAAAAATCACGACGGGAGATTTTTCTATTGCGAAGGCCTTACGGCCGTTGCCGCCGACCCTGAAGATGACGAAAGACAACACGAGGGGGGGGCAGGAGGAGGAGGAGGAGGAGGAGGAGGAGGAGGAGGAGGAGGAGGCGGAAGGGAGTAGGAGGAGGAAGGGTGAAGGGGGAGGAGGAGGAGGCCTTATGGATGTTGGTTGGGATCTCGTGGTTGACCTCTCGGGGGCGTCTGGAAGGCAACTTGAAGCCTCTTGGGGGCCGTTGTGGGGCCTCTTGGGGCCTCTTTTGGGCCTCTTGGGGCTTCCGGAGGCCGTCTTCGGCGCATCTTGGGGGCGTCTTGGCGCCGCTCGGGGGCCTCTTGGGGCCTTTTGGGGGCCTCTTGGGGCTTCCCGGGGGCCTCTTAGGGCGGAAGTCTCGAATTCTCGGTTCCTCGTCCCCCTCTTGGCCGTTTCTTGGGCCCGTCTTGGGGCCCTATTGGGCCGTCTTGGGCGCCTCTTAGGCTGTCCTGGGGCCTTCTTGGGCCGTCTTGGGGCCCTCTTGTAGGCCTCTTGGGGCGCTCTTGGGGGCCTCTTGGGGGCCTCTTGGGCCGTCTTGGAGTGTCGGAAAGCCGAAAAGGCGAGAAGGCCAAAATCATTCAAAAACCGATGTAAAATTTACGATTTTGGCGCCTGGGGCCCTCTTGGGTGTGCTCTTGGGGCTCTCTTGGAGCGTCTTGAGGGCCTCTTGGGCCGTCTTCGGGCCGTCTTGGGCGTCTTGGGGCCATCGTTCGTCGAGTCGAGGCCCTCTTGTACCCTTTTGGGGGTGTCTTCTGTCGCTCTTGGCTCGTCTTGAAGCTTTTCTGAGCTCCGGGACCCCCCGGGGAGGATGCGTATCTGGGTGGCGACCCCCCCCGGCGACCCCCCCCGGCGACCCCCCCCCCCCCCCGGCGGGGAGGGTAGGGAGGGGCTTCGCCACGACTCAACTACGACGTTGCTCAATGTCGCTTTGGCTCGCGCGCTCAAGGAGACGGGGAACGACGAAGACGACGAGGGACAACGGAGACGGAGACGACGAGGACACGACGGAGACGACGACGACGACGACGACGACGACGACGACGACGACGACGACGACGACGACGACGACGACGACGGTGATCCACGCAAGACGACGACACCGGGATGCGTCTTCCACACGCCGACAGGGTCGGCGGATTTTCGGCCTTCGTGGGCCTTCGCTGGGCCTCGGGACCGTCAAACAACGACTCAGGACGAACAACTGGTCTGGGGGAAGGGGTCCAGACCTGTGGGGGTCGACGTTGCGAAACAAATCACGACGTCGGGGGTCTGGGATTCGAGGTTTGAGGTTTCGGACGGCTTCTCAAGCAGTGGCGAAGCGTCCTGGCTCGCCTATAACCCTACCAAGCAATGTTCTAAGAACCTTTTGTGGTTTCCACGAAATGTTCTTAGAACATTTCTGGCGGAGAGCGTCTTGTCAGAACACATGGGGTTCATGTTCTAAGAACATCGTTTTTGTTCTTCAAACATTCTTGGGTTCGAAGAGCATTTCGTGGTAGGGCTATAGGAATGCCGGGACGGTCGGTCCCTGCTCAGGCTTCGTCGGTTCTCATCGGCGTTCCAGCCTCGGGATGCCCCTCCAGCAGCTGCGCCTCGCCGGGGGCGCTCTGGGGGTGCCGCCCGGATCGTCCCGGAGGGCCGCCCGCGGGCCGAGGCGTGGCCCGAAGGCCACCGGGGCTCGGCCCTGTCCCCCTACAGGGGGATTTTCGACGAACAATAAAAAAAAACCCTAAAAATAATCCAAAAATAGTCTGGGGACTACCTTTTTATTACTATTTAACCTTTTTGGTGGGTCCGAAAACTATTCGTACTCCGCTATTTTTTAGAGATGGTGATGGTTTTCTTGACTAAACTGGAGCTGCAGATGAATTGTAGGGGTATTTTTTTATTTTTCGTCGAAAATCCCCCTGTAGGGGGACACGCCCGACAGAAGCATAGGGGGGCATGGATCGACCCTCGGCGGCCAGCGGGGGGGGGGGGGAGTGAGAAGGAGAAGGCCTTCTCAGAGCGCGGCGGGGCTCCTCAGAGGGCCTCCAGCCTCCTGAGGCGGGGCTTCTCAGAGGGCCTCCGGGCTCCTGAGCAGTGTTTGTGTCTTCGGGGGAGGCTCAGGCAGCTTCTCAGAAGGCCGCGGGACTTCCGAGAAGGCCTTCTTAGAAGGCCTTCTTAGAAGGCGGCGGGGCTCCTCAGAGAGCCTCCGGGCTCCTGAGCAGTGTTTGTGTCTTCGGGGGAGGCTCAGACAGCTTCTCAGAAGGCCGCGGGACTTCCGAGCCTTCTGAGAAGGGCCGCCCCTTCTCATCTTCCCCCCTCGAAGGCCTTCTCAGGAAGCGGCGGGGCTCCTCAGAGAGCTTCCAGCCTCCTGGGCAGGTTTTGTGTCCTCGGGGGAGGCTCAGACAGCTTCTCAGAAGGCCGCGGGACGTCCGAGCCTTCTGAGAAGGGCCGCCCCTCCTCATCTTCCCCCCTCGCTCGCCGCCGAGTTAGTGGGTCTGATAAAGCCCCACCCCATCCAGGAGCGTGGGGATCTGCTATCGGGAGCCCATCGCCGATCTATCGGCGATATATCGCCGATTGCAGGCCGATGTTCCCCCCCCCGATCCCTATTCCACCCCTTATCGCTGCCCCTCAAAGATTCGAGTACGCCGGAGCTCAGGTTCGCCTGCGCTTGTTGGCGAGCTCGCCCTGGGCTTTGGCGGCCCAGATTTCGTGGGATGTCTGCAGCGGGAGCTCGCGTCAGATTTCAGACTGCGTCCCGTCATTCTCCTGACGGCTTCGTCAGGCCAGCCCGAGTCCCCCGCACCCGAGTCTTACGTCTCCCCGAACTGCTGTATTGCGAAGGCCTTACGGCCAGTGCCGCCGACGCTGAAGAGGGGCGACGACGAAGATTGCGACGATGAAAATGCACAAAGAAAGCTAAGGAATGGGAGGGAGGAGGAGAGGGGGACGGAGGAGGTGAAGGGGAACAGGGTGGAGGAGGGAAGATGATGAGGAGGAGGAGGGATGAGGAGCTGGAGGGCGGAGGAGTCGCCATGGATCCAGCAGGCGCGCACTCCACGTGTGGAGTGCGGGCCGGAGGGCTGTCCAAAGAGAGCAGTGCCACCACGCAGCCAAACAAAGCAGACGCCACGCGCCTTGTCACGGAGGGGCCCAGGCCCACGGGGTGCGGTGACCACGCCGCGTGGGGAGTCGACGGGGATTCGAAGTTCGGGCACCGAGGCTCTCGGAGATGTTCGTCGGTTCTCGTCAGCTTTCCAGCCTCGGGGTGCGTTCCAGCATCTGCGCCTCGAAGGGAGCTGGAGGGCCGTCCCTACTGCCCGCCAAGAGGCAAGAGTCCTGTCCCCAGAGCCACCCGGCGTCGAAGCGCTGCGGCCCCCAAGCGGTGTAGAGCTCACCCCGCGTGGTGGGTCAGTGTGGATGCGGGGTCACCGCACGGTTTTGGGACTCGGGTCGTTCTCCGAGGACGCTTCGGGCGACCGACCATGACGAACGGACAACACACACCCATACCCATAGGGGGGTCGGCGGGAGGAGGACTTGCTATGGGTATGGGTGCGGGTTGTCGGACCACGGGGGGGTCTCCCGTTCGAGCGGGGAGCTCCATCCGACAACTCGCACTCATAGCCCCCTCCGTCCTCCCCATGGGTATGGGTGCGTGTTGTTCGTTCGTCAGACCAGGGGGCCTCCGAGGTCACAATACCCTGCGGTGACGGATCGCGCGGTGAGGTCTCGTGGGATTTCGAGGTCGCCTGGCGTCTCAACAGAAGGGCCCTTGAGGAGGGCTCCTCCACTTCCTTCTCTCTCCCCTGGCATCCTCGCGGCGTGACAGAGTCACGACGGCAGGTTGTTGGCAGTTTTCGGCCACCCGGGGGATCCCTGCTGGGCCCCTGGGAGCCCCAGGGAATGAAGAACCGGTCCTGGAGAAGGGGTCCAGGCCTTTCTGGGGAGCTCAACAGAAGGGCCCAGGCCTTGATTCGGTACGATCGACATTGGTATGCAAAGAATGGGCACGGAGACCGAAATCAGTTCCCGGTCATGTAGGACCAGAGCTGCTGTCGATGTCGCCGCGGACGTTGACCATTTGAGACAGAAGGCCGCTTGGCCAACAGCGGCCGTTCCCTGGCACCCTTCTCTCCCCTGGGGTCTTTTTGACAGTTTTCGGCCTCCCAGTGGCCCCTACTGGGCCCCTGGGACCATCAGAAAACGACTCGGGATGAAGGGCCAGTCCCAGAGAAGGGTTCAGATTTCGGGGGAGCCGGGCTGTGAAAACATTTCGACGTCGCATGGAGAGTCCTTCTATCCATCGGGGCAGCCTTGCAATAGTGTCCTATCCATCGGGGCTGTCGACCTACTGGATCCACTTGGATGTCGTCGCTGGAGAGTGCTTCTTACAGGGGGTGGGGCACAGCGCGCGTTATGCATCCTTCCGACCCCGCCCCCCGCCATAGCTTGACGCCCCCCCCACTCCAAACCAATCCCTAAAGAGCGCCTCTGGCACTGCCCCTCTGCACATTGGCGCTAGCAGCCAGCAGGCACGGTTCGGTGCTCGCGGGCTACTGTGGCACCCGCAGAATGATTGCATGCGCTCGAGTGCTCGCAAACACGTTGGGCGCTCGCATGAGTGAGGCCAGTGTTGGCAGATATGTTGACGAACGAACAGCCCGCACCCATACCCATAGGGGGGTCGTTGGGAGGAGGACTGTCTATGGGTATGGGTGCGGGTTGTCGGACCCTGGGGAACGCTCCCGTTCGAGCGGGGACCCCCATCCGACAACACGTACTTATAGCCCTCTCCGATCCCCCTATGGGTATGGGTGTGTGTGTTGTTGGTTCGTCATATGTTGCAAAGGGGAGGAGCAGGAAGAGCT